ATGAGATCTGTAGGAACTAAGGTCCCCACAAGTTGGAGGATGGAATAAAGATGGTGACCCTTAAGACTTCAATTAACTAAAGCTGGGACTCAATCAACCTTTGCCTCAATTTTATGGTTAATTCTCCTCTGCTTAAGACCATTCATGAATATACAGGTGCCCTTAACTTAAAAAAAAAACAATGTTCTTTAGGGGATTGGAATGCGAAAGTAGGAAGTCAAGAGATAGTAACTAGCAGGTTTGGCCTTGGAGTACAAAATGAAGTAAAGCAAAGGCTAACACAGTTTTGTCAAGAGAATATACTGGTCATAGCAAACACCCTCTTCCAACAACCCAAGAGACGACGCTACACATGGACATCACCAGATGGTGTATATCGAAATCAGACTGATTATATTATTTGCAGCCAAAGATGGAGACGCTCTATACAGTCAGCAAAAACAAAACCTGGAACTGACCGTGGTTCAGATGACAGGTTCTTTATTGCAAAATTCAGGCTTAAACTGAAGAAAGTAGGGAAAAGCACTAGGCCATTCAGGTATGACTTAAATCAAATCCCTTATGATTATACAATATAGGTGACAAATAAATTCAAGGGATTATATCTGGTAGACAGAATGCCTGAAGAACTATGGATGGAGGTTCAGAACACTGTACAGGAAGCAGTGACCAAAACCAACCCAAAGAAAAAGAAATTCAAGTAGGCAAAGTGCTTGTCTGAGGAGGCTTTACAGATAGCTGAGAAAAGTGAAAGGAAATGGAGAAAAGGAGATATACCCAACTGAATGCAGAGTTCCAGAGAAAGTAAGGACAAATAAGAAAGCCTTCTTAAGTTAAAAATACAAAGAAACAGATGAAAACAATAGAATGGGAAAGACTAGAGATCTCGTCAAGAAAACTGGAGATATCAAGTGAATGTTTCATGCAAGGACAGGCACAAAAAAGGACAGAAAAGGTAAGGCCCTAACAGAAGCAGAGAGACTAAGAAGAGGTGGCAAGAATACACAGAACTATACAAAAAAGGCCTTCATGACCCAGATAACCACAATGGTGTGCTCACTCACCTAGAGCCAGACAGACATCCTAAAGTGTAAAGTCAAGTGGGCCTTAGGAAGCGTTGCTATGAACAAAGCTAGTGGAGGTGATGGAATTCCAGCTGAGCTATTTCAAATCCTAAAAGATGATGCTATTGAGTGCCGCACTCAGTATGCCAGCAAATTTGGAAAACTCAGCAGTGGCCACAGGACTGGAAAAGGTCAGTGTTCATCCCAATCCCAAAGAAGGGCAATGTCAAAGAATGCCCAAACTATCATACAATTGCACTCATTTCACATGCTAGCAAGACTATGCTCAAAATCCTTTAAGCGAGGCTTCAGCAGTATGTGAACTGAGAAATTCCAGATGTACAGGCTGGGTTTAGAAAAAGAAGAGGAACCAGAGATCAAATTGCCAACATTCGATGACATAGAAAAAGCAAGGGAATTCTCAAAAAATATCTACTTCTGCTTCACTGACTATGCTAAAGCCTTTGTACGGATCACAACAAATTGTAGAAAAATTTTTAAAGAGATGGAAATACCAGACCACCTTACCTGTCTTCTGAGAAACCTGTATGCTGGTCAAGAAGCAACAGTTAGAACCAGACATGGAACAACAGGCTGGTTCAAAATTCGGAAAAGCGTTTGTTAAGGCTGTATACTGTCACCTTACTTATTAAACTTCTATGAAGAGTACAGCATGAGAAATGCCAGGTTGAATGACTCACAAGCTGGAATCAAGACCATCAGAAGAAACATCAGTAACCTCAGAAATGCAGATGATATCACTCTAATGGCAGAAAGGGAAAAGAAACTAAGACCCTCTTGATGAGGATGAAAAGAGGAGAGTGAAAAAGCTGACTTAAACATTAAAAAAAAAAAACAACTAAGATCATGACATCCAGTCCAATCACTTCATGCAAACAGAGGGGGGGAAAATGGAAACAGTGACAGATTTTTATTTTCTTGGGCCCCCAAATCACTGCAGTGACTGCAGCCAAGAAATTGAAAGATGCTTGCTCCTTAGAAGGAAACCTATAACAAACCTAGATAGCATATTAAAAAGCAGAGACATCACATGCTGACAAAGGTCTGTATAGTCAAAGCTATCTATAGTTTTTCCAACAGTTATGTATGGATGTGAGAGTTGAACCATAAAGAAGGCTGAGCACCAAAGAATTGATGCTTTTGAATTGTTGTTTTGGAGAAGACTCTTGAGAGTCCCCTGGACTGCAGGCAGATCAAACCAGTCAATCCTAAAGGAAATCAACTCTGAATATTCACTGAATAACTGATGATAAAATTAAAGCTCCAATACTTTGGCCACCTGATGTGAAGAGCCAACTCACGGGAAAAGCCCCTGATGCTGGGAAAGACAGAGGGCAAGAGGAGAAGGGGGAGACTGAAATTGTTAGATAGGAAGGATGAGGATAAAATTGTTAGGTAGGAAGTTAGGCATGAGCAGTGGAGGGTGGCCAAGCCAAAAAGGATGCACGCTGATCTCTAAACCCCATCCCAGACGTGCCTAGTGGAGCTCACAGATATGCTACAAAATAACCACAGAAACTTTTCCAACTCCTGCACACATACCCTAGGCAGGAACCAACCACAGGGGCTTCCTCAACCAACTTCAGGCAGCTAGGAGCCCATTAAGGGTTCATATATATTCTACACACATATATATCTGATTACAACAGACTGAATTATGGGAAGAGATGCACAATAGAGCCTGCTGTGAAGCAACTGTCAATTGGTCTTGAGAGTATGCCCATTTGCATCCCATTTCTTGATTGGGGGTGGGTACAAGCCCTATTTTGCACACTGCACAACCAAAAGGAGGTGACGGGAAGTAAAAAAAGAGGGAAACCAAAAGGGATCATTACCGTAACTCCACTGGGGTAGGCCTGCTCCCGTGTCTTGGGAGTATCTATTTAATAAAAGATCTGTCTGCTTGAGCTGTAACTTATCTGTTCTTTTAAACCCTTTAGTCCATCATTCCAAATTTTTGTTGGCAATGAGACAAGAATTGAGGGAGAAAAATAAACCAACCTGACAGGATGGTTGGGTAGCATCACCGAATCATGCTGCATTCCATGGGGTCGCAGAGAGTTGGACATGACTTAGTGACGGAACGACGACAACTTAAAACCACCCCAGTTTTGCTGTTTGGAGAGACATGGCTTTGGGCAAGATCCATTTCCTTCTCCAGGGGATCTTTCCCGACCCAGGGATTGAACTCAGGTCGCCTGCACTGCAGGCAGTTTCTTTACCAACTGAGCTCTGCTGGCAAAGTAACGTCTCTGCTTTTAAACAAATAACAAACACTGAGTATCCCTAGAGCCAGGCTCTATGGTAGGACCCAGTTCTATGAGAACGTGTCACCAAGACTTGGTTTGAAGGGAAGATACGTCGACTTCGCTGAGACCTGAACAACGGAGGGAAATCACTTCAGGAATAATACAGGCGGCGCGAAGTGCTGAGGAGGAGGCGGGCCTCGGAGAAACGCCGCGGGGCCGCCGTGAGGGAGGCGGGCCCGCGACCCCCGGCGCGGAAGTCGCGGGGAGGGCAGTGGCTGGACTTGGGGCCTTGACGACCCAGGAGGATTTGTGGCTGCAGCCTGAGAACTAAACAGTCACCGAGGAGGGAGGTGTGGCGATAGGAGGGCCCAGGGCCCCCCGCCGCCCCGGCCTGGGTAGGCCTTTTAAAAACACCTTTGTGGCTGCGGTGTGTCAAAGACGACATGGTGCCTGTGTGAGGGCCTTTCCTCACCTCCAGGTTCTGTTTCAAGACCCTCAGGTAGCGGGAAGCCGCCGCTTCAGGCAGTTCACCCATTCACACGGCTTTGGTTGTCAAAAAGTTTGCTTTTTTCCCCAGACAGAAGGTAAACCGGGGTCGCACGGGAGTCTCACCTCATTGATGACCTCGTCCTCTTCATCCTGTTCGTCACTGTCGTCTTCATCCACCTCCTCCACTTCATCCTCCTTTTCTTCATCGCCCAGAGCCGGGGGCACGCGGCTCAGAGCACGCCGCTTCGGCCGGCACGCCATGTTACCGGCACCTCTGCGCCTGCGCAACCCCCGCGCGCCCGCCCTTCCGGATCCACCCAATCCAGCCGAGGCCGGGGTGGGGGGTAGGAGGGCACGAAGACCCTCGGTGCGGAGTCGGCGTCAGCCCCGCCGCCGTGAAGTCCGACAGTCAAGTCCAATTGGGGGGGGGGTTCCTCTCTTGGCCTTTTCTTCCTCCTTCCATGGAGCGACTCGTCTTTCCGAGGTTCTCCTCACCCTCCCCCCCCGCTTTGCGCAATGGTTTGACCCATCTCATAGGTCGCTGCGCCTGGGTGTCCGTGCGCACGCCCGAGCTTCGGGGGGCTCCTGGATCCCCCACCCCCGGCGCAGGTGCCCAGTAACGGGGGGCGGGGCTTGGGCTGTCGTCGTGGCAACGCCGGCCAAGTGGTGAGGGGGCCTCCCTCCCGGCTCTGCGCTGCGCGCGTCGCCCGACGGCCTGCTGGCGGGAACTCTGAGAGTCCGCCCCGGAGTGGCGCGCCGCCAGCCCGGCCAGGTAGGTGTCGCCTGTGCACGGTACCGGCGAGGACAAAAGAGTTCCGCGGACGCACGGGCACCCGCCTGCGTCACGGCCCGTGCGTGTCGAGTTGGCAGCGGAACCCCTGAGGCCGCTGCTGGCCTGGGTGGGCTGGGTGCGCGGTCCCCGAAGGGAAGGAAAGTCGCGGGACCAGAGCAGATGCCCCAACCCGGCGGGTGTCGCCCAGCACAGCCTTGTCGGTAATCAGTGAATGCGGTCCTGATTACCTACCCTTAGCCCACTGTTCTTAAGCGTATTTCTCGATCTGAAAGTTTCTTTAAAATCACGCATCAACCTCATCTGCTTTAGGGCAAGTTGTTGGTTCAGTCGCTAAGTTGTGTCCAACTCGGGGACCCCCATGGACTGCAGCAAGCCAGGCTTGCAATGCAGGAGACTGAGGTTGGATCCCTGGATAGGGAAGGTCCCTCTGGAGAAGGAAAGGAGTTACGGTATTCTTGCCTGGAGAAGTCTATGGAGAAGATCCTGGCACATGGGGTCTCAAAAGAGTCTGACACGACTGAGGGACTGACACTTTCACTTAGGGCTTTCCTGGGGGCTCAGACAGTAAAGAATCTCCCCGCAGTGCAGGAGACCTGGATTTGCTCCCTGGGGTCAGCAAGATCCCCTGAAGTAGGAAATAGCAATCCACTCCAGTATTCTTGCCTGAAAAATCCCATGGACAGAGGAGACTAGCAGGCCATAATCCATTGGTTCTAAAAAAGCCGGACATGACTGAGAAATTAACACTTTCGGGGCCTGTGGGGATATCTAAAGTACAGACCTGAGCCTATTTTGAGAAAACACGGTGGAGAGGACTGTGGTAAACTAGAGAGCATGTACCCAGCAGCTCTGCAAGTTGTGGCCAAGTGAAAAAGTCACCCAGTGTTCTTAGTCTCACTTTGCAAGAAAACTTGAGTGCTGGACTTTTACCAAAAAACATGATTTGTAAAACTTGTGCCAAATAAAAGTCATCTACCAGTCAGATTTATCCCACAGACTGCCAGTTTGCAGCCTGTTAATGTTATTTGGGGGAAAAAAGTCACTAGAGAAGACATCAGCTTTTTGAGAGCGAGGTCTATAGCTTTTCTTTTTCGCTCTGTAAAATGAGCAGAGTAGGTGGGAAGTGTGGTTGCAAAAAAGGAATGAGCTGTCTCTGAGTCTGTTGCCCCCTTCTCCTCTTGCCCTCCTCGATCTTTCCGGGCAACAGGGTCTTTTCCAATGAGTTGGCTCTTCGCATCAGGTGGCCAAAGTAATAGAGTTTCAGCTTCAACATCAGTCCTTCCAGTGAATATTCAGGGTTGATTTCGTTTAGGATTTACTGGTTTGAGCTTGTAATCCAAGAAATCTCAAGAGTCTTCTCCACTACAGTTTGATCATAGGAATTCTATTTTTAATGTTTTGAGGAACGTACTGTTTTGTAGTTTGCAAATTTTCCTCAATAAGCATGTGGTGCTTTAGTAAGAGAAGAGGGGAAAAGCCTTTCTTTGTGCCTTGGTGTTGAGTCCCCAGTGTTGAGCTCACATTCAGATTGTGAGGTAGAGCAGTGAATGTAAATAAATGGACTACCCATGGTTTTTGTCCTTCAAGGAAGTCCAGTACTGACCCCGGGGAACTTCACACAGTCAGGGACTAGATTGCCCGGGCTCACCTTTAGCTCAACTCAGAATTTATCTTTTTTTTTTTTTTACTGGAATATAATTGCTTTACAATATTGTGTTAGTTTCTGCTGTACAACAGCATGAGTCAGCTATATGCATACATGTATCCCCTCCCTCAGAGCCTCCGTCGCAACCCCCTGCCCCCCGCACCATGCCCCGCTCTGGGTGGTCACAGAGCTCCGAGCTGAGCTCCCTGGGCTGTGCAGAAGCTTCCCACTAGCTCCGTGTTTTACACATGGTGATGTATGTATGTGAATCCTGATCTCCCAGTTCATCCCACCCTCCCTTCCCCCTGTGTCCACATGTCTATTTTCTACATCTGTGTCTCTCTTCCTGCCTTGGAAATAGGTTCATCTGTACCATTTTTCTAGATTCCACATACATGCATTAATATTTGATGTTTTTGTCTTTCTGACTTATTAATGTTCCACTCTGCATAACGGAGTCTGGAGTTTATCATAAAGAAGCAGAGAGGTGGTAGCACATGCTTGGGCGACCGGGCCTAGGCTCCAAACCTGGGTTACATTTTCTTATTACCTCTGCCAACTACTGTGTTGTGCAGCCTGAGCACATTACTCAAAGCTTCAGAGCTTTAGTTTCCTCTTCTGTAAAAAAAGAATAATACTCCCTACCGTGCTGGTTTAAATGAGGATTTAGGTCTTGCTTGTAAAATGCTTAGCCCCATAAATTACCCATGTAAGTGCCAGATGAAAGGACAGCTGCTTTTATCGCTACTACTCAAAGCAGCAGGACATGGTTTAAAAGTATGGATTTGAGACGTGGCTCTCTTACCAGCGAAGAGGCCTTAATCAAGTCAGTTCGCTGTCTCTTTAAGGAAAAGTGGCCATTCCCCATGCTCCAAAAATTGCTGAGTAAATCTAAAGCATTTGTTTTCCCACAGTGTGAACAGATATTTGCTGAGCATCTACTATGGGGAAGAAAGTGCCCCAGGAAAACCACTGGTTCAGAGGACCAAACCTATTTCACAGATTCAAGAACAGAGACCAAGAGAACAGTGTAGACCACAACCCAAGCTTCAGCCCCTCTGGCACAAGATTCTTCCACACCACCAGGCCTCTTGCCAAAGTCCAAAGTGACACGCGTACAAACCTCCTTGCATAAAAGCCTGAGAATACCCCTTTCTCCCCTTCCTGTTCCAGGCTTCCTCCTGTTGCTGCAATGCAGGTAACAGGTGTCAACTGAAAACAAAAAATTTGTTTTAAACTTTATTTATTGATGACTGCCCCGGATCTTCATTGCTGCACACAGGCTTCCTCTAGTTGCGGTGCACGGGCTTCACATTGATTCTTAACCACTGGCCCAGCAGGGACGTCCCACCCCCTCCCTTGTTGAGAAGGGGTCTGTGGACCTTTCTCTGAGCCCTGGGATTCTGCCCTGGGCTGGATTTGCCCAGTAGTTCAGTGACTGGTACCTGTCAGTTGTGAGGGGGTAGATGTGAAGGAGAATCAATTGTCTGCACAGTCTCGGCTTTAAACCTTCAGTTACTAAGAAAAGGATCAGTGTGTTGGCATGACTGAGTGCACGTGTCCGTTGATCCATTGCTCAGTGAACTTGGTGATACAGGTTCTGGCATGGCCAGGAAGCTTCAGCCGTGGCTCCTCTTAGTTCTACCTTAGAGATGCTTAGAGCGGTGGCAGAGAAGGCCAAGGGCAGTATTTGATTTTTATTTTTCAAGTCCTGCAGCCCATCTCATGGAATTTCTAAGCAGTCATTATCCAGAAGGCATCAGTTTTATTACCCAAGAGAACCAGAGTAGAACCCAGAAGAAATATTTTCCTTATTTGCAGTGAGTAGATTTGGTTTGCTCTCACATGTTTTTATTATACAACTAAGGCTTCCCAGGTGGCCCAGTGATACAGAGTCCACGTGCTAATGCAGGAGACTCAGGTTGGATTCCTGGATTGGGAAGATCCCCTGAAGAAGGAAATGACAGCCCCCTCCAGTATTCTTGCTTGGGGAATGCCGTGGACAGAGGAGCCTGGTGGGCTACAGTCCGTGGGGTCAGAGAAGAGTCAAGCACGGTTTAATGACTACATAACAACAAGGGGGCAGCTGTCACTCGTTATCTCCTGTGAGTCACTCCATGCCTTGGGAGGGCAGAGGGTATTCCCATTAACCAGGGGAGAAAACAAGATCACGTCCTGGCCAGTCAGGCTGGGCCAGGACCCGACTCCCTTGGCCCTTCGTCCTCTGCTTGTTCGGTGACCCTGCACTTCCCTCTTAATGTTGCCCCGGAGAGAAAGGGAGGAGAAAGCGCAAGCAGAACAGTACATCCATCAACAAGACATCTCCATTGCTACCAAGTCTAGACTCCCTAACAGGGCCAGACAAGGCCATCTCCCCACTCTCCCCTGCGCACTCCAGCCGCCCCAGGCCTCTCTTCACCCCTCAGGCTTGAACCTGTGCAGCCTCCAGTCTGAACATGATCCCCCAGGAACACTGGGTCCCCTAGGAAGCATTCTGGGCTCTGCATGGGTGAGGATGTGGGTCCCACTGCTCTAACACAGAGCCATTAACATTGGCTGAAACAGGATAGAACGTTTCTTTCCTTTGATGTAAAGAACTCTGGCTGACTGGTGGCTCTGCCATGCAAAGAGGTCCTGCTCCTTGCATCACCCCCAGGACAGGACCCTGCTGCTCTTACTGGCCAACCCCATCCATCCTCCACCCGCCAGGGAGGCAGGAAGGGGAGGGCAGGAATGGCACTTCCTGCCCAGGCGGGACCGGAAGTGTGTGCGTCAATTCCACTTACGTCCTCTGGACCAGAACCACCTCACCTGACCACATCCATCTGCACATATTTGTCCCAGGCATCCATGTGCCCGACATTATGAAGGGCTCCTTTCTGAGAGGGAGGAGGGAGGAATGGATACTTGGGAATCCAGTGGATCCCCACTTCTCAATGAACCAGAGGCTCCCTGGTCCTTGCACTTGAGTCACGCCTGTCCTACCCTGGGGAAGCCCCAGGCCGCTTTCTGTTGTTCAGTCACTAAGTCATGTGCGACTCTGTGAACTGCCCCACAGCAGGTTCCCTGTGCTTCACTGTCCCCTGGAGTTTGCTCAAACTCATATCCATCGCGTTGGCAATGCCATCCAACCATCTCATCCTCTGTCACTCACTTCTCCTGCCACTTAGTGACATACTTCTCAGAACCCCCAGATTGGGAGGTATGTCAGCCAGGGTTCAACAGAAAGAGTGGTAGGGGATATGATCAGGAGACTTGGTGCAAGGAATCGCCTTGCGCAGCTGTGGGGGCTGGCGAGGAAAGGCTGGAATCCACGGTGCGAGCCGACGGGAAGGGCAGGCCGGGCTCGGGCACTACCTGCAGCTGTGACCACAGTGGAATTCCTTCTTCCTCGAGGAAACCTCAGTTCTGCTCTTTAGGCCTTCCATTGCCTGAAACAGGCCTTCCCTGATGACCTAGGATCATCTCTTTTACTAAAAGCCAATGAATGGTGAGTGGACCAGCTCTCCAGAGTGCCTGCCCAGCAACACCGAGGTTAGCATTTCTGAATAAATGGGGAAAGCGAGCCCGGCCAAGTTGACACCTAAGAGTGAGCATCCCCGGAAGGGGGATTTCTGATTTCCATGGGGGACGCAAGGTGAGTAACTTCAGGAAATGATAGATACGACGCTGCTGTTTCCCCAAGTCTCCCGGCTCTCCAGCTAACTGCTGGAAAGCAGCAGTAATTGAACTTGGCTTCATAATTATTATTAGTTCACCCAGAATTGCTTGCTTAGATACAAAGCAATTCACTTGGAGCCAAAGTGTCCTAAGATGTCCCATAGATTTTATAAGTTTCCAGAAATATGTTCAGTGATTATTAGTAATGGCTTCCAGAGTTAACACATTTCTGCTCCAAACAATATACTCTTTGACTATTATCAACCACTGTATATTAATTAAGTAACTGGTAGTTTAATGCTACTTACGGGATGTAATCTGCGTTTCCAGCAGTTTGTTCCGCAGGTCTTCGGCGGCATTTGTTTTGAGACCTTTGGGATGGTTATAATGTGCTTTTTCCTCCTTTGATACAAGAGGAATTTAATGTTTATTGTAAAAATAAAATTGGATGATACAGAAAGAGGTAGAGAAGAAAATAATCACCCTAACCTAGCAGCAAAAATATTCTTTCATATATATGTAAATATAAAATGTATAAGATCACACATGTTATGCAATTCTGTATCCTGCCTTTTTAAAATTAACATTATTTTGTGATTAAATAAGCCATGTAATTAAGTTGTTTATGGATATTTTAGTGATTTTTTGTAGACCTGTACCATGATTTACTTAGCCATTCTCTCCTTGTTGGACATTTACATTGTTTCTAATTATTTGCAATTATAAAACATACCAGGATACAAACTTGCAGCTAAGTCTTGAGGATCTAATGAATAATGTGGTGATTATAATCAACAATATTGTATTATCAACTTCAAAGCTGCCAAGAGACTAGATCTTAATTGTTTTTACCACAGAAGAGACATGATAATTTTATGAAGTGATAGAGGTGTTAGCTAATGTTACAGCAGTAATTGTATCGCAACATATAAACATATTAAATCACACTGTACACCTTAAACTTGCCCGATGTTACATGTCTGTTAAAAAAAAGAATACCAGGATGTTAATCTTTTTACACATTTATGAGTATCACCTTAGAATTTATTCTAAAAGTGAAATTATAGGAAGAAAGGGTATGAAATATGTATGTCTTTTGATATATATCAACAAACTTTTCCAGATTTCTTAAAAATTTTTGAAAGATTATCTCTCGATACATTGTAAAACATATGAGAAGAGTCAATATAATGATTCCCTAAAGAGCTTATAACCAAATGAGTAGATTTATCTAGAAATGAAAGTAATTATTCATTTTCTTAAAAGATACTCATTTCTCTTACTTATTATTGATTCAACCCAGAATTTGCATCACTTCTCTTCTGTGAGTTTCCAGTATTCAGCTAGGATACTACCTTTCCCTAGTGGCTTTAATCCGCCTTTTCAAGTGATATCAAGTGCCAGCCTGCTGTCCACTGGCCTTATCGGTGACAGGGTCTTCAGAAGAACAAGCTCATAAATGCCAAGTCATTGTAGGGGAGGGAGAGGCCAGCCAAGCTGCCGCTGATTACCTGCGCCCCACGCCCGCCCGCCCGGCCGCTGACCCTGCTCAGGAAGAGCCTTGGAGATCGAGTTAAGATCCCCTCTCCCAGCCCTGTCACAGCACCCTGTAAGGACTGCCAGGCCATAATGAAGGTTCTTTTGCTGAAAGACCCCAAGGAGGACGACTGTGGCCAGGACCCCTACGTCAGGGTAAGTGCTTGGCACGCCCAGTCCCAGAATGCCTGGCCCTGCCTCGTGTTGAAGTCAATCAAGGGTGGGGTGATCTGCTAACAGTTGAGGAGTGGACACAGTATAAGTTGTGAAATAGGCCCATTTTCCTTATTTCCCCCCCAAAACCCTGCCAGCTCAAAGCTGTATCCTTTCATTTGCAGGAGCTGGGATTATATGGGCTCGAAGCCACTTTGATCCCTGTTTTATCGTTTGAGTTTCTGTCTCTCCCCAGTCTGTCGGAGAAGGTAAGTTTCGTCAGCCTCTGAGCACCATCGTTTTCCAATGAGACACCTTTGGTTTCCGTGGCATCCTTGCCAACCTGAGTGAGAAGGACCCATTGATGAGCACTTGTCTCACTGGCGGTGTGAACTCACCTGCATCTTCAGCCCAAGCTTCTAGCAGCCCCTCCAGAAAGCTACCTAACCCAGAGGCGGGCCCACAGCGAGGCCCCGCCTGCCTGCTCTCCGCCCTGCAGACCCTTCCCCTTCCTCCTCTCCTGCAGGCCCCCCCCCGCCCCCTCCCCACCTCAGCTGTTGTTTCTCCCCAAGCCGGGCAACACCCCCAGCAGATAAGAGGGAGGGTTGGGGCTCCTGCCCCCGGGTTGGGGTGATAGATTACTGGCGGGGACGGCCCCAGGGAAGCGCCATGGGAACAGTTCCAGCTAAAGATTCCGTGCCCAGCCGCCTCCATCACTGCACGTGCCACCAGATGACCTCCCCAGGGGCTGGATTCTGGACTCGTGGGCCGCGAGCGGGGGCTTCACGGGATGGGTGTGCCCAGCCCTGCCCACTGGGCTCCCGAGCCACTGGGAACTCCAGGCCCCACCCCAACCCCCAGGCTCAGAGTCTGCCCGTCACTCACGGAGCGCCTCTCTGCTTCCTCCCTTCCGTTTGAGCTGGATGTTGAATTATTCGTTCAGCAGTTGTCATCTGCCCTGACTGTGTTGTAAGGACTATGTAAGGGACCCCCATTGGCACCTCTACCATAAGCAGCTTTAACGGAAGCAAAGCTCATCATCTGAGCTCATTGCTAGAACCCCAGTGGTCAGGAAAATGCTCGAAGCAGGGGCTTCTCCGTCACCCCCAGCTAGTCTGTTTCCTGAGGGGGTGTCTGAGCTCCGTCTGAAGCTCTGGTGGTGCAGTGTGAGTGCTCGGGTTTGGGCACCGAGACACGTGCTCAGATCTCAGTTCCGCCCCTCACCTGGGCTGCTTCCTCATCCTTGCCAAGCCTCTTTGTCTTAATCCGAGCAGTTTGAGTCTTTCCACGCATCACAGGGTACCATCACATGTTCGGTGCAGGAATGTGTGTAAGAGCCGCTGTGTGGCTCAGAATCCATGGTCAATAGATTTTGTCCCCATTTTTACCCTCAAAAACCAGGGCCTCAGCATGGATATCACTCCTTGAATATTCCAGTTTATTACAGATGCAGGTCAAGTCTGTGGTCCTGCCTACACCCCAGCCACGCCCAGGCTGAGTCACATCCCCTCTCCCTTGTGTCTGCCACCCCGCATCACACTGACCCGTTCCTCCCCAAGACTGTGCGGTGCTTGAGGGAAGTGCTATGAATTTACCTGTGTGTCCTTAAAGACCTGGAGTAGATCCAGGCACGTAGGGAGCTCTCATGTTTTGAGTGGGTGGATGGATGGGTGGATGGATGGATGGATTTAGTTTGCCTACCACTTTTGTGAAGATGTGGAATCCTGGGCAGCGTTCAACCTGGCCATCGTGTAAAATGCCTCTGCCGTTGTTTGGTGTGCAGCTGTCTCATCCTGAAGGTTACGGGGGACTCATTTTCACCAGCCCCAGAGCGGTGGAAGCCGTGGAGAGATGTTTGCAGAAAGACACTAAAGCCGAAGGTGAGGGTGGGGTCTGCTGTGAATCCCTCTGGATGTCACTCTGGTTTATCCCATCAGTGATGCTCAGTCTGGAAAGAGCTAGACCTGGGTTTGAAACAGCGCGGTGACTTTTAGTTCAAAAAGTATTTAGGTACCAACTTCCTTTGTGCCTGTGTTACCTTTGGAGGGAGCAGAAGATGAGATTCCCTCTTCTAGGCTATTTCTTAGTGTCCCACCCAGAATAGTGTCACCTGGGAGCCTTCTGATGGGAGCGAGCACTTCGAGGTGCCGAGTCCCCAGGAAACGGGACCGTGCTGCCTCCCAAACGCCCAGATGGGTGTCACATCTTAGGAAGGAAAAGCTGGTGTTCCCTTATCTCCTAAAAGTGTGTTGAATGCCAAGTGGACTTATGATACTTTTCTTTTTTTCAGTATTACTTTAACCCATATTTTAAAATGTTTACTTTTGTCACAAAATGATAATGTCCTCTATAAAATTGTGTTTGTTTCTAAACCTGAGATGTATTATCTCTACTTTGACCTAATGGATAAATGAGCCTTCCTATCTGAGATGATAGTTTGTTGACTGCTTTGGTTTATGGCCCAGAAAAAAATCAGTTGTATCAGATGGCAGAGGATGGGGTGGTTAGATAGCATCCCCAACTCAGTGGACATGAATCTGAGCAAATTCCAAGAGATAGTGAAGGACAGAGGAGCCTGGCGTGCTGCAGTCCATGGGGTTGCAAAGAATTGGACACAACTTAGCGAGTAAACAGCAGTTGCTTTATTAGAGATTTAAATTGCCTCTTTCTCATAAGCAGTAACTTTTGTCTCTAAAAGTCTAATCTTGGGGGGAATTCCCTGGTTGTCCAGTGGTTAGGACTCAGTGCTTTTACTCCCGTGGCCGTGGGTTCAATCCCTGGTCTGGGAGCCAAGATCCCACAAGTCTCATGGCATGGCCAAAGGAAAAAGGGTAGATTTTTACATTTTAATATCACTGAACAAATTAATTTTTCACTATGTTTGTTTACTAGTATTCATTAAAAATGCTTCCAGTGCAAGCTGTGGAAATGACTTAATATTTCAAGCAAGGCATACTGAAACGTTTGGCTAAAGTGATTTGTAAAAACTTGCCTGTAGACTATGAATAGAATATAAAAATGGATTTTAGTTTGAGATGCTGTTCTTTATATCTGGTCATTAATAGTTTGCCTTGCTCACAAGTCTTTTAGGATGAACAAACAGCCGCAGGCAGCAGTCCAAATGGCCACCGTGGTATTTGCAACTCACATCGAATTTCATGTCTTACAGTCTGGAAGAAGTCTCTGAAAGAAAAATGGAACGCTAAGTCGGTGTATGTGGTGGGAAATGCTACTGCTTCTCTAGGTAAGCAGTCAAGCCCCAAATAAAACACCAAAGAATGTGATATTGTGATTATAATAAAAAATGTATATTTGGTCTTTATCCCTATTCCTGGCCCAGGCCTCCTAAAACCCTTGGAATTTCCTAAGTGATAAGAAAAAAAAGGTGTCTTTTGTTATTCCTAACAGACCTCTCAACTCCATCTGAGTTGACTTCACTGCGGTGACTTTTGGGAAGCCCTTAAACTGGGGGCTACTTGCCATGGGAACCAATCCCATGATTCCAGGGGGAACTTTCAGATCCTGACCTCCCTGCCCCCCACCTCCAGGGAGAAGAATGGTGGGGTGCCCAGAGGTTGAATTAATCACCAGTGACCATTGATTAGTCGATTGTGCCCGTGTAATGAAGCCGCCATAAAAATCCAAAGGGCAGTTTCACCGAGGAGCTGGGAGGCCCAGGCCCCCTGAACCATCCCTGCCTGATGCAACTCCTCCATCTGGCTGTTCATTGATGCCCTTTGAAATATCCTCTATAAGAAGCCAGCAACAGTAAATTACACCTTTTCCCTGAGTTCTGTGAGCTGTTCTAGCAAATGATCCAACTCAAGGAGTGGACCAGGAGACCCTCTGACTCAGAGCTGGTCTTGTCAGAAGCACAAGCGATGACCTAGGTCTGAAGTGGGGGCGGTGTGATCTAGGAGACTGAGCCCCAGATCCTTGGGTTGTGAGTTAACATTGTCAGACACTCAGCTCAGAGCCGGAGAACTTCTGGGTGTGGAAAACCCACAGCCGGGGCAACCAGCATGCAGAGGTGTGAGTGCGGTGGAGAGCAGGGGAGAGAGGGAAACGGGAGATGTCCTTCCCCACTGACCTGACTTAGTTCATGGAACCACATGGTTCAGCTTAAAACAGATTCTTTTCCTTACTCAGTTGATAACAAGTAGTTAGTCAACCACATAATGATGCCAATAAGGGTGTGGTGAAATAAATATATTCAGATATGGCTAAATGGCATTGAAAATTGGTTCCCATCTTTTGAGAAATACTTGGTCAGCCTGTATTCAAAGGCTTTGCTAAATTATTTGTACCCTTCGGCCCACTAATCCCTTCTTTGATAATCTATCCAAAGGTAGTAATCCCAAATAGGAGAAATGTTTTTATCAGTTCAGTTTAGTTGCTTAGTCATGTCCAACTCTTTGTGACCCCATGGACTGCAGAACACCAGGCTTCCCTGTCCATCACCAACTCCCAGAGCTTGCTCAAACTCTTGTTCATCAAGTTGGTGATGCCATCCAACCATCTCATCTTCTGTCGTCCCCTTCTCCTGCCTTCAATCTTTCCCAGCATCAGGGTCTTTTCAATGAGTCAGTTCTTTGTATCAGGTGGCCAAAGTATTCAGTATCCGTCCTTCCAATGAATATTCAGGACTGATTTTCTTTAGGATGGACTGGTTGGATCTCCTTGCTGTCCAAGGGACTCTCGAAGAGTCTTTGGGGTGATGGTGTTGGTTGGGATACACAACTATATCATAGTGTTACTTATAATGTAAAAAAATGAAAAACCCCAAGTGTCCACTAACAGGGGAAGAGTTCAATTTAAGTTATAATAGATCTGTGTGATGATTATGTAGTTTCTTCTTTTACATACACACATCTTTATTTTGAAGGAAACTTACAGGAAAGGTATAAATACAAGGCAAAGAACTTATTTTTCCTGAACCTTTTGAGAGTAAGTTGCTAACTTGGTCCCACATCACCCAGAGCCACAGGTCTGGGGGCCGTGGGGGTGGGGGAGGCCACGGGCTGGAACCCAGCTCCCTCTCGAGCACACAGTGCGTCCTCCCACCTCCCACACTAGCTTCTAAGGGGAGACACTCGTGTCATTGTAAAGTACCTGCCTTCGTCTCTGCACCTTTAAGATACCACCCTGGAACAGAGGGACTTTAATAACCATGTAAAGAAATAAATGATGTTGTTGTTGTTGTTTTCCAGTGAATAGAATTGGCCTGCATACAGAAGGAGAGACCTGTGGAAATGCAGAAAAGCTTGCAGAATACATTTGCTCCAGTAAGTAGAGTAGGGCCCCGGTGAAGCCTGGTATTGCTGTTGGGGTCTCCCAGCCAGCACCTCGGGGAAGGGCCGTCTCCTCGGTGCCTTCTTGGCAGAGACACGGCTGATTTGAGTGCGTGCACCCCTCTGGGTTCACGGCACCTTGTATCTGCTTCTGTCTTGTATCAGGTGCCTTGTATCTGCTTCCATCTGTGCTTGTCTGAGGTTCAGCCCACTCCCCTCTACCCCCTCCACCCAAGGACTGGAGACAACTCGAACTTGACACTGAATGAAAGGGCTGGAGACAAAACCAGGAACAGGACTTTCTGGGGATTGTAAGGGGCGGATGGAGGCAGCAGGAGCAACTGGGCACCGTCTGTCTGTCTCTGCCAGCTCTCCCGCCTGCCCTTCCTTGTAGGAGCCGCTTCCTGCTCTGAATTCCCTCTAACCCCAAAGCCCACTCCGTGAAGAACACCCCCCACCCCCTCATAAGCTCATCATTGGGCAGCACATGGGCTGAGACATAAAACAGCACAGGTTCCAGGGAGGTTTGTATTTCAGTAGGGATTAGGCTTTGCGCTAATTATGACATTCTCGGCTTCTGACATGAGCCAAGCTTTTTGGAGCAGAACTCTGGAAGAGAGAGAACAGAGAGGCTCAGTGGGTCCATACGGGAGCCCCACTCAAGTTGTGTATCCCGATCCCTACCCCGTGCCTGCTCCCACTGCACACAGACGTGTCCCTGTCACGTTGACCCCTCCCTGATGGATGCGTGGCATCAGACACCCACGTGGAAGAGGACAGAGAACCAGCTTGCCTTCTGCCCCTGAGGGGATCGGGGCCACGCCCCTCGAGATCAGGGGCTGTGGGACTGTCTGTTGAGGACCGGATGCAGGCAGCCCTGCGGGTCCGTCCTCTGCCCACCAAAACGTGAGTGAGGCTGTAGACCACGTGCCGGGCTCTGACCCGGGGCTGCGGTGCACAGACCCTTTCTAGAACTTCCCTTCAGAGACAGGGCCGGTTGGGTGCTGACGCCCAAGGTGTTGCTGTGAGTTTGTCCAGGAGAAAGTGTTGTCTTCTCTGTCCCTGGTGTTGGCACCAGGGTGGGCAGGGAGGGCAACACCTTGACTGGGAGCTTTTACGGCTTCTGGGCCATTTTGTGTGGGGCGTGGTGTGTTGGAACGTTTGTTCTCAAGGCGGCGCTGGCCTGTCTCTATCTTTCTGAAGTCTTAGGGGGCCCTCCTATCAGGGGCCACTGCCGTTGGTAAAGGGGGGTGGGCTCGTGTGTTTCTGTTGACCCCTGGGAGCCACTCCTGCAAGAGTCCTGGGTCCTCCCCTTCCCTGTCGGCCAGGCCTCCTGGCGCTCAGGCAGCGGACAGTAGACTTTGCAGGTTCCCATTCACTCTCCTTTTCCCATTTTTCTTTTACGAATAATCTTATTTCCTCTTTCCTGGGTCACTCTCACTGTTGGTATCGAGGGCTGGGCATTACTGGGTGGTCAGCCTGGCCCTGGCACCTCTCCTGCGTTGTCTCATTTGGTCTCCACCACCATCCACTGTGGTCCACTGTGGGAGCCACATGGGCCTATTTAAATTTAAATTAATCGAAATGAAAAACCAAAAATCAAAACGTGTTTCCCCCATCACATGGAGCACAGGCCACAGCTCAGCCACCCCTCTCGGCTCAGGGCCCCGCAGGGACAGCCTGGCTGCCCCAGGGTCGCCCGGCGCGCTGTTTGGCAGCCTTGTCGAAGCTCCGGGAGCTCATGACCATCCAGGGCCCCAGAGCTCCGAGGGGACAAGCGGGAGGACGGACTCCGCACAGCTTGACCAGGGTTCGCCTGTGGGTCCTGATGAACCTTCAGTTCCCAACTAGAATAACATCCAAGTAAGCATCCATCCTGACTGGTAAGCACTTGCCCCTGGTTTCACCTGGATGTTAATGAGTTTCTTGCAAGCCAACTCTGAAGCTTGAGCTTAAAAAGCAAGAATGACTTCCAGTGCTTGGAGTAGAAAGGCCAGTTCGTAGTTACTGCTTATTTGTTTGACTTAAACACTTCTTTCCTCTGTGACGGGCACTGTTACAAGCACTTAAAGCCATCACCTTATGAATCTGGTAGTTTCTTGTTCTGATGGACAGGTCTTCCCTCCCAGGGTGTCTCTGCTGGTGGAAAAGAAAGGACGAGTGAAGTGGTCAGAGGTAGAAGATAACTCTTAACAGCGTCTTCTGAGAGAAAGAGGAGGGGAGGGTGTCAGAGGCAGGCATTGTGCGGGTTATTTATTGATTTTTAATCTCCCTGGATTATAGTTGATTGATTACTCAGGTTATTTGAACTGACCCCCTGGACTTGCAGCTGAGCTGACCAACAACTTGTTCCTGTGGACCTGCCCACTTCCTGGGCTCTCCTTCGTGCCCCCCGCCCCCCCCAACCAGCCTCATCGTCCTGATTATCCACCGTTAAGTGCCTGCCACTAGCAGGCCTGAGAGGGCGCAGTGACTGCAGACCTGGAGGCCCTTAGAGTTTTATAGACACACGTGTCTCCTCCAGCGAAATGACATTGACCTGCTCCCTCTCACCACCTGCATCGCCTGCAGAGACTGAAGCCCCCGCCCCAGCCACGTAGTGCGCTCTCAGGACTTTCCGCGCAGCTGCCGTCTTCAGCCCAGCAGGCCGGGCCCCCTTCCTGTTAAAGGAGCGCAGAGCACCTGAGCCCCGAGGTTCAGCGTCCCGTGTGGGGTTAGACTCCTGCCTGGCCCTGGTCTCTCCCTGTCATCCCAGGGGGACCTCACCGCTCACCTCTGCGGAACACAACCAGCTTTCACACTGGCCTGTTTAGCTGAGCTCATCCCAGAAAGGAATTTTTTTCATTCATTCATTCATTCATTTTCCATAAACGATCTTAGGACAAAGAGGAAAAGTGGTGTGGTCAAGCAGTGCCCTGGTGGGAGATGCTGTCAGTTTCCATGGTGATGAGATGGGCTGTGGGCGTCCTCCCCCCTGGAGGCTGTTTCCCATCAAGCTTCCTCTCTTGGGAAGGATTCTGACACCTAATGGCCCATCAGTTTTGTTGGGAGCTGGTGTCTCCCATGGTGTCTCCATGATTCTGCAAAGAGAGGCCTCCAGCTGACTCTCTCAGAGAGGAGAGGTACACAGGGGCAGGAGGCAGGGCCGTTCTCAGCAGGCTGGGCCCCCTGCAGCATCTCTCAGGCCCTCAGGCACCTGGCCTGGCGGCCGCCATCCCCACCATAACAGAAGTACCCCCACAGCTGGTCTCTGTTGGGGCGGCTGCACCTCCACCGTCCACGCTCGGCTCCCATTTGCTGCCTGCCCCTGGAGCCCAGGTTCCAGCCACCTCTCTCCCAGCCAGTCCCCTCTGGAGGCAGACTGTTACTCTGGGGCCAGTACCAGGGCTGACCTCTGACCCAGCTCTGCACGCCCACTGCTGTCCGGGGCCACCAGGGTGGGAGAGGCTTCGGGAGCTGGGGGGACCACAGCCCCAGGCACGCGTGGGTGTTAGCGTTCCACATGCTGTCCGCCCCCCAACCATGACCCCAAGAGCTTCCTCCACTCGGGCCTGGAACCGACCTGACCCCGGGCGGGGCCTGGGGTCGGCCTCCCTCACCGCTGACTCGTTACCTCCGGCTCGTCCTCAACGCCCACCTGTCTACTCACAGGGGAGTCCTCCACGCTGCCTCTTCTGTTTCCCTGTGGAACCCTCAGAAGAGAGATCCTGCCGACAGTGCTCACGGACAAAGGTGACCGGATGCACTGGCCCTCGGGGCCACGCCTGCCCCAGCCTTCCCGGGGTCCCAAGGGCCCGCCCGTGTGGTGACAGTCCATCACCCCACAGCCCTCATGGGAGAGCAAGGCTGGGCCGGGAGGCGGGTGCCCCTCAGGTTAGGTTCGGGGTGCAGGCGCCTTCTTGCTTCAGACCCACCCACTCAGCTCCGCGGGGAGCCCGGAGCCCTCACTGGGACCACAGTGGCGGTGGAGTGGCCAGGACTCCCGGTGGGCACACGGGGAAGCCAGTCTTCGGGGGGCTTTGGCCGCCCCTCAGCCAGATCAGTGCAGTCTAGACCCCCAATCTCATCAAGCACGTGGCAGCCTCCAGCTCAGCTGACCTCGACCTGCTCCCTCTCCAACCCTGGGCCCCAGGCCAGGGAGCCAGGGACCAAGCTGTCCGGGCCCCCGAAGGCTCATGGCTGCTGACACCCCAGGCTTACAGACCCCGGTGCAGTCTGCCTCCAGCCCTGGCCCGCAGGATGGGAGTCCACGCAGACAGCAGCCACGGCAGAGTGGCCAGGGCCAGGCCTGTGGATGGTTCACACAGACGTGGGGACAAAAGGAATCATCGTCCCGGGTGGGGCTGAGGCTTCGGGACCCCGTCCTTCCCCTGTCACCTCCGCCTCCTGCACCGTGTGACCACTCCGTAGCAGCATCAGGCGCAGTGTGGAGGGCCAGCCCAGTGCACGCTGCTGGGTGCCTGGCCACTTGTTCCGGCAGGGCCATGCGGCCCTGGGGGGGCCTCAGGTAACGGTGCCCTGTGGTCCTTTCCTGGCATGGTAAAGTCTGTCTCCTGGTCTCCACTGTGTCCAGGGATCCTCTTGGAGAGCATAACCGTCTACCAGACTATCCCGCACCCAGGGATCCAGGGGAACCTCAGCAGCTACTATACCCAGCAGGTGCGTGCCGCTTTCTGGGAGCTCAGGCCAGGAGCCCCCGGGTGGCACAGGCAGGGTTCAGGGCCGCTGGCCTCCCGATGCTGGTTCTGCTGTCCGTTGCAGCTTGTGACTTGCGGTGGGGGTGGTGTCCCATCTTTTGGTTCCATCTCTGCGTCTGGGAAGTAGGAGCAGATCCATCTGGTAAGGTTTATCAAGCGTTAAAGGAGATAATTTACACAAAGCCCTCTGTGTGACATTCGAGACTGAGAAAGCCCGGGGTCAGCAGTGGACTTGACGCTGTTCCTCGCCGTGGGGTGGGGCGGTGGTGGAGCTGCAGGGCAGGGCTGGAGAGGCTGAGGGCCCCACCAGGTGGCCCACGGCGGCCCACGGGGTCTGGGTCGACCTGGGGAGGCAGCGGGAGCCTTTGGAGGCTTCAGGCAGAAGAGTGCTCGGCTCTTGTGGGGTTGATGGGAGCGTTCCACATCCGCACCCAATAAGATGCCTCCCCTTCCTCTCCCAGGACAGGCTTCTGAATGCCTTGCCAGCCTGGGAGGCCCTGTTAGCACCAACAGAGCAGAGAGGCCCAGTGGGCCCGTCTGCTGCCTGCTCCATTTCCAGAAGGCACAGAGAGGCCCAGGGAGCAGGCTCGCTGCTCTGATCTGACTTGGTCGGTGCGCTTTGGCCACCCGAGCTGGAGCCGCTCTCCACTCGCCTGCGTGCTGGCTCCCTGGTGCTTGCTGCCTCTGGCCAGGCAGGCGCAGACCCGAGGGCGGCAGAGCATCCGGGGAGCAGCGCCCAGCCCCCCTCCCAAACTGTTCTCGACACGGAGATGGAGCCCAGGACCCAAACCAGTGGGGGCCCTCCTGCTGTGAATGCCCCGGCGTGCACCTGGGCTCCGGGGGTGATGGTGACCAGCTGGGCAGCATCTCCCAGTGGGGGCCCCCCTGCTGTGAATGCCCGTGTGCACCCTGGGCTCCGGGAGTGATGGTCACCGTCTGGGGACCATCTTTCTCCTCGGCCCCCGGCAAGGGACTCGCCCTGTTCTCCCCTCTCCAGGGTGTTCCCGCCAGCATCACGTTTTTCAGTCCCTCTGGCCTGACACACAGTCTCAAGCATATTCAAGAGTTATCTGGTGACAGCATTGGCCAAATAAAGGTGAGCTATTCAGGGGGCTTTTGATCTTTTTCTTTCAGGTTCTTTTGTCTGTCTGTCTGTTCTAACTTTGACTAATTACCCTAGAATTTCCATGCGAAGCCAAAGCTCCCCTGACCTCGCAGGGTCTCTGATGGCAGCTCTGGAGAAAAGGCAGGGCTGGACTTCCCTGCGGTCCAGGGCTCAGGACTGCACTTCCACCGCAGGGGGCTGGAGTTCCACCCTGATCCAGGAAGGCCTCGTGCTGTGCGTGTGGGCTTTAGGACTCCCAGGCCCCTGCTCACAGCTCACAGTGCCACCTCCTGGCTGGTGCTCTTGGACAAGTTACTTAACCTCTCTGAGCCTGTGCAACATGAGGATGATTATACCTTTGTGGTCTTCACAGACATGTGTATGGTCTTCGCTGATAGGTTCATTGAAAGAACTCAAGTCAAGCCCTTAGCTCAAGGCCTGGCTCTGTTATTAGCGTACTTCCCCTTGTTTCCCGTCTGTCTTGAAATTATGTTGTAAAATTCTTTCTCCTTTTCGTGGTTTTTAACTCAAAGGATTTCCATTCGTACTCTTTAGGAGTCGGCAACTAATCACAGCTCTGTAATGGGGATGCTCTTAAAGGCCCCAAGGGGGACTGGGGAAGGGGTACCGGTGTGACTGGGAGCCCCCAGCACAGGCCCCAGCACTCCTGGGGGTCAGGACTGTCTCTGCCTTATAGACTGGTTCCCCACTCCCACCCCACCCCCAGGGAGGTGCCCAGAGCCGGAACACTGGCCTTAGCGCTGGGCTCTTGGGGGCCCAGTGCAGAGTGGGCTGCCCTGCTCCAGGGGCCCCGTCCGCAGCCTGGGTCCAGCCCCGCGGGCTCTGTGGGTCCAGCCCCGCTGGCTCTGTGGGTCCATCCCCGCGGGCTGTGTGGGTCCAGCTCCGTGGACTCTGTGGGTCCAGCCAGGCCCCTGGTGGTGAGTCTGACAGCAGGGCTCTCTAGACACCCCCTGCTTCTGTGACCAGCCCATTTCAGGGGGAATAAAAGGCTCATGTGGAAACGTCATCTTGTGACCAGATTGCTTCTGCTGAAATTATGCTTGCTGTTGGCTGGTTCCCAACTTCAGGGTGTTTCTTTCTTTTTTTAATGTTTGTTTGTTTAAAGAAAAAAACAGCTTTATTGAGATATGTCACACACCATGAAATTCACTTTTTGTGACTTAAATATGTACCTTTTAAAGTGTGCAATTCAGTGGGTTTTGGTAAATTCACAGGGCTGTGCCACCATCACCCTCTCGTTCGGGAACACTTTAATATCATGAAAGAAACCACGTGCCCACGAGAGTCACTGCGCAGCCCCCCAGCCGCCACTGGCCTTCTCCCTGTCTCTGCGGATCGCCCCGTGTTCTGAACTTCTCGAACAAACGGAGTCACACCGTATACAGTCTGCGGCGACTGGCTCGTTTCACTTGGCCTGATCATTTCAGGGCTCACCTGTGTCATCATATATCGGTTCTTCATCCTCCGTGTTACCAGATGACAGTCCATTCTGTGAATATAGCACCTTTCATTTATCCATTCATCAGCTGATGGACATTTGGATTGTGTCCTCTTTTGAGCCATCATGAGTAACAGCTGAACGTTTAAGTACACGTGTGTGAACACGTGTTTTCATTTCTCTTGAGTGTTTACCTATGAGGAGAGTTGCTAGCTCGTATGGTGATGTTATGTTTAACATTCTGAACAGTTGCTGAACTGTGTTCCAAAGTGGCTGTACCATTTTGCAGTCCCACCAGCAATATATGAGGATTCTAATTTTTCCATATCCTTGCCAACCCTTGTTATATTTTTGTCTTTATGATTACAGCCGTTCTAGTGGGTATGAAGTAGTTTCTTAGTGGTTTTGGTTTGGATTTCCCTAATGACTAAAGATGCTGAGCATCTTTTCATGGGCATGATGGCCGTTTTGATACCTTCTTTTAAAAAAATTTTATTTATTTTTTAAATTTATTTTTATTTATTTTATAAATAAATATTATTATTTATTTTTTTATCTTTGCTTTACAATATTGGTTTGATTTCTGTCATACATCAACATGAATTAACCTTAGTGAAAGTGAAAGTCACTCAGTCATGTCCGACTCTTTGCAACCCCATGGATCATACAGTCCATGGAATTCTCCAGGTCAGAATACTGGACTGGGTAGCCTTTCCCTCCTCCAGGGGACCTTCCCAACCCAGGAATCGAACCCAGGTCTCCCGCATTGCAGGTGGATTCTTTACCAGCTGAGCCACAGGGAAGCAGTCTCCACCAACACATATGTCCCCTCCCTCTTGAATCTCCCTCCCACCTCCCGCCCCTTCCCACCCCTGTAGGTTATCACAGAGCACCAGTTTGAGTTCCCTGAGTCATACCATTTTGATATCTTCTTAAGAGAAACATCTGTTCACATCCTTGCCACTTTTTAACTAGGTTATTTGTCCTTTTGGTGTTGAGTTGTAAGAGTTCTTTTTTTTTTTTGGAGGCTAGTCCCTTATTAGATACATGATTTGCACAAACTTGTTCCCATTCCATGAATTGTCTTTTTGCTATGTGGATGGTGTTCTTTGAGGCACAGCAGTTCTTAACCAGTGTTGTATTTGCTGCTTGTGGTTTCCATCATGTGTCTGCATCGCCTCGTCCACGGCCATGAAGGTTCACTGCTGTGTTTCCTGTTGTAGTTTTAGCTCTGACATTGAGGCCTCTGATCTGTTTTGATTTGCGTTAATGTTTGTGCATGGTGTGAGGTAGGGGTCCAACTTCATTTTTTTGCCTTAGGGAGGTCTCCTAAGGGGTAGCTGCTTTGTGGGAGGGGGTGGGAGTGTGGGGGCTCCAGGAGCCCCAGCTTCTGTGCGAGCAGCCTCCTTCCTCGCCCCCCGCACGCCCCTGGAGAGGAGCGTCAGGCCACTGCGTCCTAAGACTGTATGAAGGAGGTATCTCGTCCTCTCTCCTGCCAGCCTGCCTGGGGAGGGGCGGACGGGGGTGCCGGGCAGGGGCTGCCATCATCAGGGGCTCACTGTCACAGACCACTCCCGGGCAGGTCCCTGTCCGTGGTGTGAGTGCAGAGGAGGGTGGGAAGAGCACCTTCTCTCTGCCTGAAGTTGACAATCTTCCCATTTCACCACCCCCACCCCGCCACGAGCTAGCACTGAGGCAGGGTGATTGAGCCCCTTTCACAGATGAGAAAACTGAGGATTGAAAAGGCTAAGTGACTTGTAATGACAGCTGGCAGGGGCCAGAGTCACAGCAAAACGTGGCCCAGGCCACTGAAGCTTCTCACCTAGGATAACGATGGTCCTGTGACCACTGACGGTCACGAGGCGTGGCTCTGTGCCAGGCACAGGCCAGGTGGTTACACGTGTTGGTCATCTAATCATTGGAGCAGCCAAACGAGCAAAGCTGTTAACCTTTCTGCTTCATGGAGGGGGCCGGAGACCCAGCGAGGGTGGGTCACCCTGAGGCCGCTGTCCTGTGGAGCTGCCGTTTGCACCTGAGCCCCTGGCTCCAGGCCCCGGTCTGGACTGCTCTGCCTCCATGGGGGGCCCGGCTGCTGCCCCTGCCGCACGGAGAGCCCCTTCCCAGGCTTCGTTCTGTGCTTCCACCACGGCGGTCTGGACTGATTCCAGACATCGTCCTAACAGGATGTCCGACAGGCCCTGCACCCGCTGCCCCCCGCGTCTCCCCGCGAGGCCTGTGGCTCCGCTGAGACCCCCTCTGTCTTCTCCCTGCAGTTCGTGGCCATCGGCCCCACCACGGCCCACGCCCTGGCTGCACAGGGCCTGCCCGTGAGCTGCACCGCCGAGAGCCCCACACCACGCGCCCTGGCCGCCGGCATCAGGACGGTGCTCCAGCCCCATGCATGCTGAGTGCAAGGCCCTGGCGCCCTGCCCCGGCTGGGCTGCTGCCTCCAGGCAGAGCCAGGTGTTGGCAGGGCCTCCCAGGAGGCCGCCGCCCTCCTGCTCCTGCCTCCTGCCTGAGGGGAACACCCCCGGCCCCGCCCAGCACCCAGGACCAGACAGGCCATGGGGTCAGCATCAGGCCTGCAGGCACCTGGCGACCCCGCAGGGAGGCCAGCACGGACCCTCGCCCGGCGCACACGGCTCCTCCAGCGGCGGGAAGGAAGCCAAATAAAGCTCGCTGGCCACTCGGGCGGACCCTGTGTTCTTGTCACTTGGCTGTGTTTGGGGAAGAAGCAGATAAGTCTTCGAGCTGAGAACTGACAAACCTGGCATGAAGAATAAAGTTTGCTGTGTGTGAAGGAGTTTTATTCATCTTGTAAAAAAGAACCTCTGGGCTTCCCAGGTGGCGCTAGTGGTAAAGAATCCTCCTACCCGTGCAGGAGATGCAGGAGATGTGGGTTCCATCACTGCGTTGGGAAGATCCCCTGGAGTAGGAATGGCATCCCACTCCAGTATTCTTGCCTGGAGAGTCCCATGGACAGAGGAGCCTGGCAGGCTACAGTCCATGGGGTCGCAAGGGTCAGACACGACTTAGCAACTCAACTACCACCACCAAGGGCTAGTCGAGACATTCAGGCAAGGCTTTACTGGGGCTCCCGGGGCTACAGGAGGGAGCAAAAAAAACAACAGTTTCACTTGCTCGCTCCCCGAGGTGGGGACAAGCTGTTGCTTATATGAGGGAAGGGGTGCGTCCAGGGGTCAGGCTGCAGGGGTGGCTTAGGTGACCTGCCCACCCCTTTGGGGGTGTCCAGGGCAGGGGGCATGCTCAGTACCATGTTCTTGCTCCTGACACCTTGTTTTCTGTTCCTGGCTCTTCAGAAGTGGCAGCTGGGTTGGGTTTTTTGCATCTCGTCCATAATTTGCCCCAACTTTGCATGCATGCAGTTGTTTTTAGTGCCTTAGAGTTTCTTTGTATTTTGTTGCCCAAGGACACGTTTGTCCAGGTGCAGGCACTGCAGGAAAGAGTCCCGCATCCCAGGCCCCAGCCTCAGTGCCACAAAAGATGGTCGTGAGGGCTCAACAGTACCTGGACTGGGTCAGCCAGTCCTCTGATCACATGCTTGAGGGACAGAGCAAGGTCCAGTTGCTATAGAAGTCTCTTAACGATTCTGTACTTTTAGCTAAGGCAGGGTTGCAAGCATAAGCCCTTAGGGTTATAAGAATTTTGAAAATTATACCTGAAACTCCTTTTAATATTGCTGAACCACAGGAGTCTGCCTTAGTACCTGAATAATTGCAATCAACAATTGCTTCCCGTCTTAATTTTCTCTTCTCTTTGTATTTATGTTCTTGAGGGTGGAAGCCACTGCCATGGCCCTCGGAGTCTCTCTGAGACCAGAGGTGCAAACAGTGGAGGAGGCAGAAGGGAGTCTGTTGTGACCTGGGCGGAACCCCATAAACACCTCACTTCTAAGTGAATTTGTGCAGGACAGTGAGGTGGGGCGGGAGTGGAGGGGTGGTGGTCGCTGCCTTTCCATAGAAACCAGGGAAGAATTAGACCAAACTGTTACCAACAATCACTTCAGGGTTCTAGAAACTGACCTGAGTCAGGCAACAAATTGAGAAGCCTTTATTCTTTCTTTAAATTTTTAAAAAACTATTTTTTCGTTATTTTGGCCGCGCTGGGTCTTCATTGTTCTGCAGCACACGGGGTTTTAGTTGGCCACCAGGGATCAAGCCCACACCCCTTGCATCGGAAAATGGGTTTTTAACCACTGGACCACCAGGGAGGTCCCAAGGAGCAGTTTATGCTTGAAAACCTGCTTTTTGGGTCAGACCAGCAGGAATGGTCTTAGGCAGCGGCCGAGAGATGCTGCCTGCTCCTGTGCGCCCCTGTGGGGACCAGCAGCCTCGCCGCCCTAGGCTGGGGCGGCAGGCAGAAATCCAGGCTTTTTCAGCAGAAGGCAGTGGACCCTGTAGGCAGTGAATGGAGAAGCCTGCTGCTTTGCTGGTCTGAGCTCTAGGTCCCAGTTGGGAATCGAGCCTGGGTCTCCTGCATTGCAGGCAGGTGATTTACCAGCTGAGCTATGAGGGAAGCCCAGGATGAGCAGCAGACCTGTCAGAATATAATGGGGGCCTCGTGGGGACCAGAGCGCCCCAGGAGGGCTGGCTTAACCCACTGGGGTCGGGGGCGTGCCCATGTGCCCCTGACACAGACCAGGGGGACTTGCAGGGTGAAGGGCGTGTCCTAAGACTGATCCTGGCGTTGGTCGCACAAGACTGAACACTTGTCCCTGAGGACTGAGTATAATAATTTAGAGGACACTGCCTCATACACACGTTTTTCTCTATAATGTCAAAGTGAAATAGATCAGACCCTGAATCTGGAACCGTGGCTGCACGTCGGAACCACGCACGGTGCTTCTGAAAGGGGAGCTGCTCCCTGCCCCCTGCCCGCTTCTACTTAATCATTTCCTGGGGGAAGGGCCAAGTCACAGGCGGTTTAGAGCCCTCCAGGTGAGTCCCACCTGCAAGCATGTCTGAAAACCATCACACCTGGTCGGGGTGCGGTCCCTGGCAGACCCTAGAAGCTGGGGGAGTCTGAGACGGGCGCTGAGCGATGGAGGAAGAGAGGAGACAGGCATCTGAAGGCAGACGGGGAGACAAAGGCGAGAAAGTTCCGGGTGGGGGGGCGAGGGTGCTGCCAAAGAAGGGCCGCGGAGCGGGGAGGGTCGGGGGAGGGTGAGAGTGGGGGTGGGGGCAGAAGACAAGGATTTGCTAAATGCCTTCTGTCCACATGAGAGCCTGATGTGACCTTTTGGAGAGGAGGTGACCAAGGTTTAAGGTGAGGCAGGACAGGTTGGGTTAAAGATGGAGATGGGTTCAGGGTTAGGAAGGGTTGCAGCCGACCTGATCCATCAGACGCATGGGAGCCAGGCAGCGAGGGTGCGGGTTCCCAGCTGGGGCTGTGAGTGGGGAACCCACGTGTTGGCCGCTGGGCTGGAGTGGGTCTCCTGTTCACAGGTTAGAAGGTGAGGGCTGAGTAGGCAAACGTGAATTTGTAAATGGGGGGGAAGGACCCGGGTTCCACAGATATTGGGGGCGGCAGAAGTAGAAACCCAATAACTTTCAACTCAGGACAGTGAAACCCAGAGAGGCCACACACGGTCCCACTGCCCCTTGCCCAGGGGGTGACCGCTCCTCTTGAGAGTGACCGCACCCAGGCAGGCCCAGCGTTACGCTGGGTCGTCATCTGTGGTCTGGTGGCTGGGAGAGACAATGGCAGCCTCAGGACAGGAGCTTGCCAGGCACAGGTCTCATCTAGGAAGGGTCAGCATTGAGGTTGGGGATGTGCGGGGCTCCTCCCAGGCCCAAAGTGGCAGCCGGGAACGGGCATGAGGCCTGCGTCCCACACAGCCCTGATAGAGTTCCCGCCTCTAAGTTGTGCCCACCCCAACTCCCAGAGTGTTGGTGAAGGAAGACCTTTGAGAAGAGAATACAGCATTGGGCAGGAATCTGTGTGCTGAACTAGGGCTGGGCCCCCAGCCCCGGTGATCAGCAGTGAGCTGAAGATGTTTCCTTTGGACCTATTAGCTGAGCTCCTAATTTCAGGATGTGTTCTCAGGCACCATTCCACATTTTAGGGGCTTTAACTCATTCGTTACATATGATAACTCACTTAATGAGTTAAAATAATAGCCCCATGTCAGCTATTACGTTAAATGATGATGCAATTATGTTCAATGTGAGTGGGTGGTAAAATAAAGACATTGTGATATATATGGGTTTTCAGAAAATAAACTAGCAGGAAATTATTTTACTAAACATTCTAAGGCATAACATACTATTACCAGTAAGCAAAACTAATGCTATTCATGATTTACTGCTATGCCTGAGAGGTTTATCTGGCACAAAGGTGACAGGGGGTTATTACCCCTGACACCTAAGGAGTCTGGGCTGTGTGCTGGAACCCTGGGATGTCAGGCAGCTCCTACCCAGAGGGAGTGCAGACACTGAAGGGACCAAGCCAGGAGGCAGCCGGGCTGACTGTACTTCCCGAGGCAGGACTGTGGCCTGGGAGATGCCGGGGTTACACCTGTCTGGACTGAGGGTCCCCAGGGCATCTCTCTCCGAGACACTGTCACCGGGGCTTTGACGCTGGAGTTGGCGGAACCTCAGGTTGACCTGCTTCCAAACCGGGTTTCTTGTCTTTTGTGTCAGCGTCATTGCTTGTTACATTTTCCTTCAGAGATTTTATAAGAAACATTCGATTACTTAAAAAAATCCATTTCTTGCAATCATCAGAGGTCCTCAGCTAGGTGGTGGCGACGTGTGACGCCAGCCCTCCATCTCTGTTCCTCTCCCGAATCCTTACCCCACCCTGTCCTCCTCCAGCATTTTACCAATGAGAAGGGGCATGGCACAGGTCTGACGGGCCTGACCCGACAGTGTCCACATGGGCTCCAGGCAGGAGACGCAGGCATGATGCACGGGGACCGCCACGCAGACACCCAGCCTGGGCTCTGGGGTCCTCCCGTCCTCACAGGGGTAACCTCCCCACACTGGAGATGTTCCTTTTACCTGCTGCAAAAGCGCTCCTTGGCTCCAGATAAACTGAAAACCGTTTTGCAAAGACCTGCACCCCACGGTCAGATCAGCTGGCATCTCCGCAGAGCTCAACACCCCCAGAGTCCTGTAGGCCCATCTCACCATCCCCAGGGCTCACCGACTCAGGCAGGGGGAGATCAACTCAGCCCGTCCTCCCAGTAAGCAGAGGCAGAGAACTCATCACAGCCACCCGACAGCCCCTAGTCTGCAGGGCCCGGACAGAAAGGGTGGGGCGGAGCCAGCCAGTGTGGAATCAACCCGCTGAGGGTGAACCCGGCGAGGCCAAGGGACGGCAAAGCAGCGCAGACCCAGCAGCTGAGAACACTCCATTTGTGAGCTCACAGCCCCAGATGGGAAGGGGCAGAAAGCCAGACTCTACCCTCCCCACCTCGGTCCTCTCAAACCCTCCCGCCGTTCCTGACCTCACCCAGGGTGTGGCCACAGGGCCGGGGATGACCCCGCTCAAGCACGAGCCCCAGGATCCCATCTGAGGGTTGGGGGTGAGGGGGGTGTTAGCCATTCTTACCGTCTTCTCTTCCTTCACTGACTTTGCCACTTTGTAGCTAAGACAGATGATAAAGCACATCAGCAGGCTCGCGGCCATCAGGAGGCCGCCCGCAACAGTGATCATAATCTTGAAGTCAAGCCTCTCAAGTATCATCTTGTGGCCAAGCGCACACCTGGGCAGGAAAGTGCCAGGAAGCACGTGAATGTCCCCCCACCCCAGGAAGCAGTGAATGTCCCCCCACCCCCAGCCACTTAGCAACCTCCATGGGCTTCCTTCAGTGGAGGGAGAGTTATCCCAAGCCACAGAGCCTTCTGCGTGTAAAACGTGGTTGGATCTCCCAAAGCTGGTCCAGGGTGGGTGGAAGGTTTACTCTAGACAGAAGGAAGGACCCCCGTGGGAAGAATCTCTCTCTCATGGGCAGTAACGTGCAGCTCCACATGAGTAACAGGCCTGTACTTGGGCCCATGGCTTTGCTCCCAAACACTGCAGGCATCCTAAGTCGCTTCAGTCGTGTCCAGCCCTCTCTGACCCTATGGACTGTGGGCTCCTCTCTCCATGGGATTCTCCAGGCATGAATACTGGAGTGGGTTGCCATTCCCTTCTCTGGGGGATCTTTTCAACCAAGGGACTGAACCTGAGTCTCTTAAGTCTCCTGCATTGGCAGGCGGGTTCTTTACCTAGGAAGCCCCTGAAATTCATTGAACTTTCAGAATCAGGCTTACAAATCTCCTGTGGGAATAACTAAGGGAATGTCTCCCCTCCCCCCAAATGTTATGTGTACACTGCTGAGAATACGTGAACCCATTTTGTAAACTAATTTTAGGGGGGGAAATGTCCATTTTTCCCACCGACAAATGGGTCATGCCACCTCAGTATTTAAGGAGATTCTAGAAACTCCCTTCCAGACCCTTCTGCAGGCTCAGAGGTGGAGAGTGTCCTGCACAGAGGAGCCTGCCTCTCCAGGAACCAGGAGCCCCCATCCCTTGTTCTGTCTTTATTGTTGATTACACACCTCGCTTGGCTATCTTTCCTCCGAAATACAACTGAGTTCCTCAAAATCCAGTTTACCTGGAACGAGCAATTTAATCAAATGCTCTGAGCCTTGAGAAGAGGGTCCCTTCAAAGGCTTGGTAATCCCTGGAGAGAAGAGAAGTGACTCCCGGAGAAAAGCCAATGATTCGAATGGTAGCAACGCCCCCCTGAGTCCAGGCGTCCTGAGCTGTGTGAAGCCAAATAAAAGCAAGATGAAAAAAAAAAGCAAAATGAATCGTCGGGAACAAGATGCTTCAGTAATGAATCCCCCAACCCCCACTTCTATGATTCTTGGAGGGAGCTTACTGTCACCACGAGGAATACCTGACTTCCAGACGCACCATCTTGTGCCAGAGCTCAAGGGAGGGACAGCTATGTTCTGGGGCTTTGAGACCCATTGGGCTGTGTGACATCAGCCCTCAGAACACCAGCTTCTGGTCACAGAGTTCTCAGTTCTGTCCCAGGTTTAGGTTTATTTTCGCCTCCCAGGAAATGCAGACTCTCTGGATAACAATTTTCATCATTTTGTTCCAAGTCCAGAAGCTTTGCACATTCTTGTTTCCCCTAGAGAAAATGTTTAGGGTTTCTCTTCTAATCAAGACACAGTTTGAGATTTCAATAAAAAGCTGGAAGAAAACCTACCATGTACGGAGGTGAACAGTGTCCTCAGACCGGAAGAGTTCTGGCCACATGGTGGACACACAGTGTAGCCATTTAACTCAGATCTGTGTTCACTGACATATATTGATCTAGTTAAATCAGTTGATAAATGTAACTGACATAGATGCTTGACACATGTAACTATATACATAGTTTTATAAATGGCTGTATATAAATAAAACAATTAACATACATGTCAGAGTTTTATGTATGGTTATGTATGTTGTACAGAGAGCATACAACAGACAGTATAGTTAAGAACTGTGTACTGACGTTAACAATGTGCTGTGCGGTGAGAAGACACTAGAGTTTGGTTCTGATCCTGATCGCATTTCTCTGATCACAAGGTAGGGAGAGCCTGCCAAGCCAGTTCCACCTGAAGAGAGGGTTCATTTAGCTACAGGAGGCATCTCGCAGAAGCCCAAGGGACAAGAAGGGAGTGGGGTGGGCCTCCTGGGCACAGCTCCAAGGCCGTCTCCCTGGGTGCCTGTCTCTGTGTGAACGTTACTTGTCATAGTCACGTGGGAAGCATGTGAATACGAGATGCCTGCACGCATGACACTTTATGTAGCTTCATTCCACCTTTCATCTTCGTACTTTTTGTTTTACCGCAAGTTTTTAGCTTTCAGGCAAAAGCTAATTTCAAATTTAATAAAGAACGAGGCCACAGCTGAAAATGTGAATGCCATCTGGGTAAATGTGATGATGATAAAGGGTTTGAATTATGGTGCTGGGGAAGACTCTTGAGAGTCCCTTGGACAGCAAGGAGATCAAACCAGTCAATCCTAAAGGAAATAAACCCTGAGTATTCATTGGAAGGACTGATGCTGAAGGTCCCATACTTTGGCCACCTGATGCAAAGAGCCGACTCATAGAAGTCTCTGATGCTGGGAAAGATTGAGGGCAAGAGGAGAAGGGACGACAGAGGATGAGATGGTTGGATGGCATCACCGACTCAATGGACATGAGTCTGAGCAAGCTCTGGGAGATGGTGAAGAACAGGGAAGCCTGGCATGCTGCAGTCCATGGGGTTGCAAAGAGTCGGAGACGACTTAGCAGCCGAACAGCAACAATAGTTATCGCTCAGTTTTAAGGCACAGTAGTAGGTCAGACGCTTTTCTTTTTCTTCATGGGTCTGTGAGGGAGGTGGGGAGGGGGTTGGTTGAGGTTGCGGACTCAGCAATCAGAAGGAAGGCCTCAGGGTTGGCTGCCAGAAGCTGAGTCCTGGGTAGGGACGCCAAGGCCCTCACCCTGGGTGAGGCGGGTTGGAGATACAGGTCAGCTGGGGCATGTAGAACTCCAGGGTCGGGGGTGGTGGGCTTCATGGAGCAGGATCTGCTGCAGCTGCCAAGCAGGGAGAAGCAGGGTTTTTTGCGGGGAGGCAGAAGGGAGGGAGGTGGGGGACTGCAGTGACGGAGAGAAGGCAGCGGAGCCTTCCTAAGCGTCAGTCCTCAGGGCAGAGGCAAGCTACGTGTGCAAACCAAGGGCCCAAAGTCCAATCGCCACCACGATTTTGTGGTCGCCGCTTTTACCCCCCGGACACCCAGAAATAAGTTGTGGGCCCATCCTTGTTCTGAAGCCTAGTAACAGAAGCACATTGCTTTATTTCTAAGTAACTTTATTTACGTATCGGGTGTGCTGGGGGTTTGTTGCTGTGTGCACTTTTCTCTGGCTGCAGCCAGCAGGGCCTACTCTCCAGGTGCGGTCTGCAGGCCTCGCTGCAGCGGCTTCTCGCCGTGGAGCACCGGCTCTAGGGGCTGGCGCTCAGCAGCTGAGGCTCCTGGGCTCGGAGCACAGGCTCAGTACTTGTGGCCCACGGGCTTAGTTGCTCCATGGCCCGTGGGATCGTCTCAGATCAGGGATCGAGCTCATGTCTCCTGCATGGGCAGATGGATTCTTTACCACCGCACCACCAGGGAAGCCCCTATGTATATATTTTAATATTTAATATATTAATAGTAATGTTTATATATAATATATTGATTACATAAATTTATATATGTTTAAATTAAATTAAATACATTTATATATAAATTTATATATATACTATATAAATTTGAATATAAATTTATATTATAAAATTATATATCATATGTTATATATTATATATTATTAGTTATTAGTTTTTATTATATTTAATAATATACCATCATATTATATAATACTGTCTTAACATTTATATTAATATTTAATATCTATTTTAATATTTATCTATCTGCTACATCAGGTCTCAGCTGCGGCTCCAGGGGCCTCTCACTGTGGCGCAGAGACTCTCTAGTTGCCGTGTGCGAGCTTAATCTCTCCCCAGGGCATGGGATTTTAGCTCCCTGACCTGGAATCCAAACCTCGAGCCCTGCATTGCAAGGTGGATTCTTAACCCCTGGACCACCAGGGTAGTCCCAGAATGACATTGCTTTAAAGTGCTCAAAAGAGTTTATAGAGGCAGGAGCCAAAACTGAAAGAACTTTGCATGCAGCTGTTAGCCCAAAGAGCCATATGTGTAAATCTGGTCTTCCTTTTCCTTCACAACACACAAAGGAAGAATTCTATTAGTTCAGTGACATAGAGAAATGGTCTCAGGGTGGACTTTTATGGTTTGGATCTTTCGAAGTTGGGAGCAAATCTTTGGGCACCTTAGTAAGTCCAGAATTTATATTGGCAGCACTCAAAGAGCCTCAAATATAGAATTAGGGATCATGGGGGATTTCTGTAGTGCAGCTGTTTCACTCTTGGAGCTTTGGAACCATCTTAAATTTAACTTGTTGTGAATATTCTAAATTCAAGTCATCCCAGTTGGAGCGAATTATACCTTTAGCCAGACACGTGTCACACTCTTCTCAGTGGTAAACTGTTCCAAATACATTGCATATTTCGTTGCGGAGGGATGTAACTGCTTTTGATGTTTTGTGAGTTGTGAACTCAAAAGTGTTAGTGTCTCAGTTGTGTCTGACTCTTTGTGACCCCACGGATTGTAGCTTGCTAGGTTCCTCTGTCCAAGGGATTCTCCAGGCAAGAAAACTGGAGTGGGTAGCCATTCCCTTCTCCAGGGGATCTTCCCGATCCAAGAACTGAACTCAGGCCTCCCACATTGCAGGCAGATTCTTTATCGTCTGAGCCACTAGGAAGGCCCCCAAACTCAGGTGGGTTTATTCTATTGGTGCTGACATTATACCAGATGTTCAGGATGAGGAACTAGTAAGCACAGCTTAAAACAATCCTGTGCTGTTTCCGAGCATGAAATTAGCATTTGGATCTTGAAATGAAATGAAGCAAAATTACAAAATGTTAATTCATAGGACTGTCACTTGGGTGGAATTCCAGAGTCCCAGTCCAGATCCGTTGTTCAACCTAGGCTATCTGAATCGGGGTGAATTGCTTCAACTCTATTCTGGTTTCCTCATTTGTAAAAATGGGGCTAGTGGTGGATCTAGGTGATTCTAAAACTCTGGATTAAAGAAGAATCCAATAATAAGCATCATGATTTTTTTTTTTCTTTAAAAAGAGAGGTTTATATTGATCAGGATAGGAAAATGATTCATGACAACCCATGGGCTCCTAACATATAAAAGAAAAATCTTTAGACTACAAAGGAAGCAGAAGAAAAATAAGATGTTTATGTGAAAAAGACTGCATGCTTTTTGTTGTTTTTGCTTTTGATAAGCCCTCATGGGCTTGGAATCAATCACACTGTAACTGCACCGAGGACACACAATAGAATTGATTCCTGGGGCCAAATCTAGAGGTGAGTCAAGACCTGAGGGACCATTCATGTGAGCAGAGGCTTCACTCAGCCAGGTGCTGCAAGTCCTGCTTTCTCTTGGAATCATGGCAGAACATCACGGTTGGCTGGGAGCCGTATTGAAAGTTGTCTCTTGTTGTTTCCTGTGACTTAACAACAATAAACCACATTAAAACTTGTTTGGCTCTCAGAAAACCAACACTAGAGATGTGACAGTGATAACGATCAGGTCCACTCAGAAGATGAACGAGGGAGAAGCTACTCCAGATGGATTTCAGAAGGATTCCCTCACATCCCAAATCCCTGGATGTTGCCTTTTATGACTGAAGAAATCAGTTCATTTACTTCTTCAAAGGGTTCTTCATAATAAAAGACTTTCCAGTCTGGTGTTTTCTGTTGTCCTTGACTGGAATTTGTCAGATGACCACATTCTTAGTTAGAAGCCGTCCTCAATTACCACGGATCTATCTATACGGCCAGCTTCCCAGGTGGTGCAGTGGTAAAGAATCTGCCTGCCATGAAGGAGACATTAGAGATCAAACCCACGGGTTTGATCCCTGGGTCAGAACATTCCCCGCAGAAAGAAATGGCAACCCACTCCAGTATTCTTGCCTGGGAAATCCCAAGGACAGAGGAGCCTGGCGGGCTACAGTCCATGGGGTCACCGAGTCGGACATGACTTGGTGACTGAGCACATATATATATGGCCATGGCAGATGATCCCATCATAAGGAAAATTGTTAAGAACTTCAAGCCCCCAAATTTGGTGCAGCCACAGGTGCAGCAGTGCTCACCTCCCTGCTATAAATTAACCTAAACACCAATGATTTCCAGAAAAGCCAGCCTTAACTTTCTTTCTAGGTGTTTGCATTGATGTGAATAGGAATTGTGTCCTTGATCCTTATCCAATGAAGATTACTGAGGTTTTCCCCAGGAACAGAGACACAAAACCATGCTATTAATCTGGATTCAGTGGACTACTCCTACAAGACTCACCACTCAGTCTTCTTCCTCGAAAGCAACACTTAACTGAAGAGTTGAGGACAAATAACAGATTCCTGATTCCCTTCAAATGGCTTATTTCTGTTTCAGAGCAGTGGCTTGACGTTTGTGACGTCAACCCCTCCAACCTGAACTCGTAAGGAGAAAAACAGGCGAATGGAGAGACAGGGGATTTCTAGGAGAATAAGTCTGACTTATTCTACAAAGAAAACAAACCAGATTTTTACTAACTGAAACAAATATGGCTCCTTAAAACTCAATGGGAAAAGCATTACAGGCTTTTCTGTCCATAGGATTTCCCAGCCAAGAATACTGGAGTGGGTAGCCATTCTCTTCTCCAGGGGATCTTCTTGACCCAAGGATTGAACTTAAGTCTCCTGCACTGCAGGTATATTCTTTACCACTATGCCACCTGGGAACTCATTAGCCCCCAAATTAGGTATAATCAATGTATGTGTCCAGGTTTAATTAAGAGTCTTATTCCATGGGTGCTTATCACCAGGGGAGACAAAGTGACAGCTGTCCTGCTATGAGACACTGTAGATTTTGTACAACTGCTTTACAACTTAGGCCGAATTTTCAATGCTTCAATAATTCATTTTTGAAAAACTGATGTGTAAATCTGTCCTAAGGACAAAGCAAACTAAATAACTACAAGGGAGCTTCCCTGGTAACCCAGGGGCTAAGAATCTGCCTGCCCATGCAGGAGACATGGGTTCAATCCCTGCCAGGAAGATTCCACACGCCACAGGGCAGCTAAGCCCCCAGAGCTATTGAGCCTGTGCTCTAGAGCCCAGGAGCCCTAGAGCCCGCACTCTGGGACAAGGGAAGCCAGTGCAGTGAGAAGCCTGAGGACAGAAACTAGAGAAAACGCCGTGCAGCAGCGCAGACCCAGCAGGGCCGAAAGTAAATGAATGCCATTGTAATAAGTAACTACAAGGAAGTGGGAAAACAGCAAGCGATAACTCTACCAAGTTACGGCAGATGTCAGCTCACCAGTGAGAACACCTGGAAATCTCCGTGTATGAGAAAGCAGTCTACAAAATTCAGCTTGAAAGTCACTCAGTCGTTCCTGACTTTGCGACCCCATGGCCTATACAGTCCGTGGGATTCTCCAGGCCAGAATACTGGAGCGGGTAGCCTTTCCCTTCTCCAGGGGATCTTCCCAGCCCAGGAACCAAACTGGGGTCTGCTGCACTGCAGGTGGATTCTCTACCAACTGAGCTACCGGGGAAGCCCTAAACACAAGCTTATTCCAGACAGTTTTCTAGCCCAGTTCGGATTTCCTCAGAGGGGTGTGGCTGGTGAGCAGAGGGGCGGCATGGTGAGACTCACACGCATATGCTGCCCAGGGCGGTGGGGAAGTTGGCAGCAGCACCTCTTCCTGCCCTTGGGCCAGGCCAGCAGAGACGTGGTGGCCGGGCAAGCTCTCGTCTATAGGGGCATCATACACATGAATCCAGACCGTCAACCCCACAAGAAGGAGTATATGCCTGACTCATGTATCACATTATCTTTCTCGAAGCTGAGCTCAGTTAACTATGACAAGGAAAGGCTTGCACGCTCCAGGCACTGGAAAAAAAAAAAAGAGTGTGTTTTAAGCAACTGGACAAGAGCCACGTAGCAGCAAATAATGAGTATAATATTCTAGTGAGAATTCAGGGGGTGGCAGAAATTTTACTTATTGTTTTAATCGTCCCTTTACTTTAATCGTAAAATGTATTAAGTAAACCAGTTCAAGTCAAAACTCGGTGTGAAGAATGTGAAATGGAAAACTACAGAGACATTTTAAATAAATAATTTATTTATTCAAAATAGTTTTCTTAACCTTATTCACAGTTTCAAGTTTAAAGTGAGAAAAAAAGGCGGGGTGGGGGGAAAGGGGGAGGTACCTATCCTTGATCAACTGTCATACAAAGTCAAAGTAAAGCAGATCTGTTCAGAACATGCACTAAAGACAGACTTGCACAATGGCTGGTCTTCTAAAAATCCTGTACTGAAGCTTAAAAAGAGGAGGCTTTTTCTCTGTGACTGAGAAGGAAACATTGTGGATGCACCAGAAGTTTCTTTAACCCACCTGAACCACTGAAATCATTTGGATAAAAGTTCCCTTGACCAAAGCAACATTTATCCAAGATAATTATCTCTTAAACCCACACAGCTTAATATACTTCAAAAATAGTTAAGTGTTAACTGCCTCACAGCAAGTCTATTAATACTGAGGTACCACGTACTTCTTAAAGAAACGAACGCGGGAGCTCTAAGTCTGACTGTGATGCTGGTGCCTCTGACGAGGAAGCCAAAGAACTCTGCCATGGTTGTTTGTCGTGGGAAATGAGAACTCTGTGTCTCCACCGCTGTGCCTGTTTTAAGTGGGTATTTCCCTCATATTTAATGACACGGAGCACCGAATGGAAACGCTAGTACCCGAGTGCAGAAGGCACGGACAGCACCTCTGTGGATGCGGCCCCAGGCGGGAGTCACTGGATGACGGCGCTGCTGCCTCCGCCGCGGGCCAGCTGGTCCAGCAAATGGATGAGGAGGTCGACTCTTTCCAAGAGAGAGGCGTTTTTGTTCGCAGTGGCTCTCAGGAGCTGGGAGTAAACCTGCTTGTTGGTTTTGAGGACTACGTCTTCATCAAGGTTACTACTGGGTTAAAAAAAAAAACAGAGAGAGAGAGCAAGAGATGAAGGAAAGAGTGACGCCCACCAGGAGCTGTAAAAGAGACCCAAGAACTAAACACTGACGGCCCTGTTGTCACTTTTCATGGAAGCAGGGGTCCTGTTAATGCCGACCTCATACCTACTTTCCCAAATCAACTGCTCATAAGCCTGTTCTTAAACATTCTTATTTCAAAACATCAATTAAAGCCAATGATTATTCTTTTCATAAATATTCGGGTGTCTACCATATACCAGGAACTGCTCCTGGTCATGAGCAAAACAGATCTGGATTCCCAGCCTTCATGGAATCCACATTCTACCGAGGAAAAGCTGGGCTGGTATCCAAGTATCTGGGTAAGGTGCGGGGAAAGAAACTTTCACAAGTCATTTACTTTACCTTGTTTTCTTTTTAGCTGAAGATAGCAGCTTGATGGACTGAAGGAGAAGGAATGACAAGCGAGATTCAAATATACTGAGCAGTTTTGTCACTTCTTCTCGATTAAGACTAGGAGAAGAATCGGCAGCTGGAGGGGTCTCTTCACTCTTAGGCTAAAAACAACAAAAAGTGATTTCAGCTCAGCCACCCCACAGTTACTGCTTCATACTAAAGGGGTGGGGACCACAGTTGAATAATCCAGCGAACGTTTTAACCAAAAACAAAGAGCAAACCTGAGAGGACTTTTGTCTAGGGACAGCCCTGTTGGCCGCCTTGTCTCAGCCTCCTCTGCCTCCCTCCCGTGGGAACCTTCTAATAAGACTAAATCACGTGAAACAACTGCCTCAAACCTAACAGCACTTATGTAGAAGAAACTAAGCCTGAACAAAACCCTCCTGACTTTCCAACACCACATGCTCAAGGAGCAGATGGAAACCGGTCCCGTGTGGTTTGAGAACCAGAATCTGGAAGGTCGTAGGATGGAGGCGTCATCCTATGGAAGCTTTCAGCCAGAGAAGGTAGCATGAATTCACAGATGCTGGGCAAACCGAAAAAGCCTTTCTAGAGAGCCTGCTTAAGCCCACTCACCGTTCAGCTGCAGGCAGTTTAGTGGAAATTATAAAAAAAGGTACAGAATTTTTTTTCTCTTTCTTCCCAGGGCCGCCTTATTAACCAAGTTCTATGTGGTTATTTAAAGAAACAGTTTTAAAATATAAAAGATATACTTGCAAATTAAAGAAGTGTTTAATAATTCCACCAAAAAAAAAATAAATCAGTCAATGTGGTTTTATGCAAGCGTTAGTCGCTCAGTTGTGTCCAACTCTTTGCAACCCCATGGACTGTATCCTGCCAGGCTCCTCTGTCCATGGGGATTCTCCAGGCAAGAATACTGGAGTGGGTTGCCATGCCCTTTCCCAGGGGATCTCCCGACCCAGGGATCGAACCCAGGTCTCCTGCATTGCAGGCAGATTCTTTACCATCTGAGCCACCAGGGAAGCCCCATGCAAAGCATATATATTTATGTGTTTGTATACATATACACTATACACACATGTGCATGCATATGCCCACTGTACACACTCACCATGTAGCATTTACTTTAAGACACACAGAAAACTGATAAATCTTTTTTTCCATTTACCTGATCAAATTCCTCCGCAAGCTCCTTTCTGATAAGCTGGAATGCATGCTTAGTTCTCACCATTATATCAAGCGCCCCAGATAGTGTTTTCAATTTTCCAACATTGCTATTCTGACCTAGAGTGGCAAACACAAAATGATCATTCCTTTAAATATAAATAGAGAAACCCATCCAATGTATTAATGAAAATTCTGATTTTCCAAACACTGTGAAGGTAGCTCATGAAAATCCCAAAAAATCTAAATCCAACTTCTGCTTAGTAATTATCCCTAGAGAAAAATAGTAGAACTAGTGAAAGCAATAAACAATCTTTGTTTTCTTATCTATCTGGTTTCATACTCAAGAGTAGTAAACATTTTTTTTTTAAAGGAATTAACTATACTTATCATCACAGCAAATTTGTTCCCAGTATCTACTTTTTTAAAAAAATAAAAATGAATCAAGCGTGGAATTCAAACGTGGAAAATTCAAAGATGCAAACTAGAAGAGAAGACCTCCCCAGACCACCCCCAGAAAGAGCTATCTGACATTCAGCTATGCATATACTGCCAAAAATTTTAAAAGATGCTTTTAGTAAAAGGTATTTCTTTTTTTTTTTTTAATTTCTTCCTTTCTTAAGATCTTTTTGATGTGGACCATTTTTAAAGTCTTTATTTAATTTGTTACAATATGGCTTCTGTTTTACGTTTTGCTTTCTTTAGCTGTAAGGCATGTGAAATCTTAGCTCCCCAACCAAGGATTGAACCTGCACTCTGCACTGGCATTGGAAGGCGAAGTCTTAACCGCTGGACTGCCCGGGAAGTCCCCCTAGTAAAAAGTATTCCTAAAAACTGTTTTGAATAGGTAAAACATTCTCAAAATGTGTAACGTTCACGTGGGCATACACGGAAAGCCACCCTGCCGGCCTCCCCAGAAGGGACAGCGCCATCAGTTTCGCGTCCATCCTTCCAGAGATACCGTATAAACAGGTACATATACGTTATGTATTAAATTCATTTTAAGTTTATAGAAGAAAATAACTGAAATGAAACCAATAGAATTGCTGTATTTCAAATAAATGTTTTGTTTCTTTACCACACAAAAGATACTTCTCACAAGATGCTTCTGCAGAAAGGGAATGGCCGAACAAGGTAGAGGAGTGAGTTTAGAAAAAACAGTGGTGGAGACCTAGCCCACTCCAAGCTGGGGAAAATGACAGAACAAAACGTCTCACTTTACCCCCCCTGCCCTCCCACCTCATCTTCTCCTCGTTCAGGCTCCGCGGTTACCATGCAAAGGGACTCAGTGAGACCACCACGCCTCCACCGCTGCTTCTCCACTCCTTCCTTGTTCATGATGATTAAAATCTTTGTCTAAAGTAACTTGTCACAATTTGTTTTTTCCAAATAAGACATCCTGGCTGTATTCCAGTATTTCTAGTCATTAAACATAATCTAACACATTTATGTTTTTAAAAAGCATTAAAAAAAAAAAGTCCCTACCCAAAGACATTAATTATGGGCAAATTCAAAAGAAGACAGCATTACTTACATCCAAGAGCGATCCACAGGTCTGCCTCACTCTAAGACAATCCAACACTAAGCCAATGCACACAAATCTGAGAAATAAAGGAGACTTACTGGCCATCTGAAATTCTGCAAAGGCTACTCTTTCTAACTGTACTCTAAGGAGTTCACACGGAGCGTCTTTCAGAAGCTGAAAAAGCTTTCCAGCTTTGCTGTAATGAAGGTCTGCCAGCACCCGGTGCTGCTTCCTAAGCTGCTCATCACCAACCTAGAACCAAAAATAAAATAAATCCTAAGGCTTGGGCTTCACAGTAACTACTTCACCAAATCTCTGGATCACTAACTGCTTTTCAGCGTTTTGTTAAGTCCCAGAGCTGTAGCTCTTACATCTGGGTCTTTCTTTGGTTTTTGTGTGTTACGTGAGGGAGGAAGCCCAGCTCCATCCTTCTGCGTGCATGTGTCCAGCTGTCCCAGCACCAGGGAGCTGCCCTGGAACCCTCTCATGCTGGCATCTGCCGTGAGGATATTAGGCCGTCTGGACAAATGTAAGTTTAGGCTGGGGGCCTCCTGTGGCAAGTGAAAGAGTCTAGGGCCAGCTCAGAGCAGAGAGAAAAACCCTCTCCAGGTTAAGCTGGGCCTCAAAGGACAATATTCTCAGGTATAAAGGCAACCCAGAAGCAAACCCACGCCCAAGGGACTGCAAGGTAAGCTGTCTTGGTGCTAAGGAAGGGAAAACAACAAAACCATTAAAAAAACATCCCTGAGAAACTATATAGGCACAAGACTCCTGGCAGAAGCAAGTCACGCTCTTTGAAGGAAGCCACCTCAACCTCAGGCCTCAGATTATTCCCAGAAATACATGGGTTTGAGCACCAGGATTCATGTACGAGACTGTTCATAGTATTGTTTCTAATTAGCCTTAAACGAGAACAACCCCAAAGTTCAGCTATCATAGAATGGATAAATAAACTGATATATTCATTTAATGAATCCTACTGAGCTAAGTAAATGAACAGTTACACATCCACCTGGAAGAATCTCCAAAATGTGATGTTAACTAAACAGCAGTAAGTCACGGAAGAATATATACAGTATAGTTTGTTCTATCAAGGTCAAAACCAGATAAACTGTAAACATACTGCTTAAGTGATAAAACACAGAAAAAGTACAGACATAATAGAAAACCCAGGACAGCAGTTAACCTGGGCGGGTCCTGGGAGAGGCTCAACAGGGGGAGGGGCACACAGAATGCCCGCGAAGGGCTCTTCCACTCCTTAACCTCGAGCCGAGGCACACAGGGCTTTCCTCTGTGATTCCTTAAACTGTACAAGTGCCTCACAGGTGTCTTCTGTGTCCTCTGATATGCATGCTCTATTTCACAGTATAATTTTTAAAAACTGGGTGATGGATACTTCAAAACTGGCATAGAACCATTTTTATAAAGAGTAACTACATTAAAAAAAAGATTAAATAATACACTCAGTCAAATATCAAATTTTGCAAACTAAGGCCTAATCAATTGTAATGGAAAAAAAATACGCAACATGGGGAGAGGGGAAATACCTATCCTCCAAGCTTTTCTGAAATGGCGACAAGAACAGATGGTGTTTAACATCTATACAGAAATGTAAGAAAAGCAGCACCTCTAAGTGGACTGGAATCAGAATGGCAATACCTGGTTCCTCAGGCAGCTGTGGTACATGGACGCCAGCCTGTGATGGATGGTTGCGGCTCGGTACTGACAGAGGGGCTGTCGGGCGGACACCGATTCCACATCGCAGTATTTCAGCGACTTCATCATCGCCTCGCTGACTTCTTTCTCAATCTATGTTTTTTTTTTTTAAGGGAAAGGGAAAAACTGACCATTTCATAATCTTATGTAGTAATTTTTAAAAACAAATACTGCTCGTCAAGGAAAAGACTGTAACAGATGCTGTGTATCTGTTAAACAAAGGAATATATAAGGTTAATACTTCTTCATAATCCAGCAAATATTACCTGCTCTTGAGCTTTTCTAGATAATGGAGCATAATCTTGCTGCAGAGTTGCCATCGTAAAATAAGTGGTGGACAGCTCCCAATTCACCGAGTCCCAGACGGCTGGGTGTATGTCCCGTGTTCCCAAGGACCTTAGAGCTTTCAGATAGTAATCAACTGCCTGTGAGGGAGCAAAGAGGGCCGCTGTGACTCAGCTTAAGTACACACCTTAAACTAAACACGCCTCAGTCACCCCAACAGCAACTTCACTTGACAGAATTTATAGGACAGTGTCATGATGAAAGCGAAAAAAGTAAATCAATGACACTTTTCAATGAAGGAGGTGATTTCAAGTGGACTGCATGCTGCCCACCTTTCCTCTCAAGTCTATCATCAGCCAAGCTGTTTTACGACTTGTGTCAACCATGAGGATGCATATCTTCCTTCGTTTTTTTTTTCTCCTTTCTAAATGAAAATTATAGCTTGTATTATTAGCAAACTAGATAAAATATTTTTTTGACAAGTCTATAGATAGAACAATTTGTTGGGTTTGACTGTATAAAGAAGCAACCTTTCCCACCTCTGTGACCACAACGCTGAAATGCACGGTCATTATATTTACCCAAATAAAATCTCACTGAATTCCATCACCCACCAATAATTTCTACATTTCTGGTGTGTATTTATCCACTTTTTCTATGAATATGTAAACTTAAGAAAAATACGATCACTTTGTTTTAAAGCTCAATATGCAATGAACATTACTCACTAAATATAATTTAAACATTTAAAGTTCTTGATTAAATGGGTGTTCTTGAGTTCTTATACCTCCTCCAATACTAGATATCACCATTTGCCAAAAAATTTTACAATTTGATAAAAGACACTCAGTTTAAAATTTCATAAAACTTTAAAATTTGAAATTGTTCTTACATATTAACCAGTTTTTTTGTTCCACGTTATTTGTTTTTTCTTGGGCAGTTTATTTTCAATGATTCTTAGTTGTTCGTTATATAATAAGGGTTTATTAACCTCTGATCTGTCATGTGTGTTTTATTTTCCCTAGATTTATACTACTTTGCAACTATGTTTTCTATTGTGCATTTAAAAAACAATTTTTATGCATCTGAATACCCATCTTATACTTTGCGATTTCTGCTCATTGTGTTATGAAGGGACAGTCCCATCTCATCAGATAAACATCTACCTGTATTTTCCTTTGAGATTTCGACAGTTTCACCTCTCCACGTTGACCTTTCATCCATCTGACATTTACTCTGGTGGTGGCTGTTGTTCAGCTGCTAAGTCATGTCCGACTCTTTGCAACCCCATGGACTGTAGCCCATCAGGCTCCTCTCTCCACGGGATTCTCCAGGCAAGAATACTGGAGTGGGTTGCCTTTTCCTTCTCCAGGGGATCTTCCCAACCCAGGGATCAGACCCATATGTCCTGTGTCTCCTCACTGGCAGGCAGATTCTTTACCACTGCGCCACGTAGACTGGGGTGGCTTTAATCTGGTTATACCAATGCAATTAACTGAACGATCGTGTTTTCCCTATCAATTCAACCTGTTGTCTTTGCACTACTGACTTCTTAGTATTCTTAGGCCTGTTGCTGATGTCTCATCCTGTGCTATCACCACAGTTAATTATTTTAGTTTTATAGCCTTTTAGAGGAGCTACAGCAAAGTGTAAATGACAATCAAGTGTGAACAGACGAAGCCCAACGTGTAGGCAAGTGTGTTACCTTATTGTAATACAAGCCTTCCTCTGGTGAAAATTCACGTTTAAACTCATCACCTGCGCCACAGTGCGCCTGTGCACAAATCCGCATGAGTCGCCCCGTGTTACACAATAAAAGGGCCGCATTTGTGGCATCGTCGATTGACTCAAAGTTGTGAATTCCCTTTTCAAAACAAGAAAAGCTTTTTTTCCACAACTGTTGCTCTGCAGTGGACACAGTTTTGCTCACTTCACCAAAAAAGAAAGAAAACAATTGCGTAAGCAGGTATCACCGTAAGCCCACCAGCGTGTCTCGATGAGAGGAGTGTGGCAGTGACAGGATGTCCAGGGTAGCACCAGCTGCCTGGATCAACTGCAGCACACTGTTCTCATCACACCTGTTATATTCTCTCACACCGGTTATATTCTCATCACATCTGTGTTCCCCACCCCTGAAACTTACGTTGAGTTCCTAAACACAAATGCCAATTCATTTAAGGTCATTTGTTGCTGTTGTTCAGTTGCTAAGTTGTGTCCTCCTCTTTTGTGACGCCATGGACTATAGACCGCCAGGCTGCTCTGTCCATGGGATTTCTCAGGCAAGAATACTAGAGTGGGTTGCCATTTCATACTCCAGGGAATCTTCCCAACCCAGGGATTGAACTCATGCCTCCTGCATTGGCAGGCAGGTTCTTTAGCACTGAGCCACCAGGGAGATCCATAAGGTGGGACTCTGACCCAAAAATGACTGTCCTCATAAAAGAGACAGATGCCAGCAATGTGCACAGAGAGAAGGCCAGGTCAGAAAATAGCAAGAAGGGGGCCCCCTGCAAGCCAAGGGGAGAAGTCTCAGAGAAATCCAGCCTCAGACTTTTAGCTCCAGACTGTGAGACATAAACTTCTGTTGTTGAAACAACCTAGTCCGTTGTATGTTTTTTTTTTTAACTTTTTATTTTGTATTGGAGTACAGCTGATTAACAATGCTGTGATAGTTTTAGGTTGACAGCAAAGGGACTCAGTCATACATGCACATGTATCCATTCTCCCTCAAACTCCCCTCCCATCCAGGCTGCCACAGAACACTGAGCAGAGTTGCCTACTACATCCCCATGCTATGCAGTAGGTTAGTCTGTCTATTTTATTATGGCAGCCAAGCAGGCTAACACAACACTCTGAATCCTCCTCTCTATTAATAACCTGGTATTAAAGCAAGCAAATAAGAACATCTGAGCAAAGCGCCATTTTATAAAGATTCTAGAGACACGGCCCCATGAATTTTAAGAGGCACAATCTGCGTCTTCTCTAATTCTCCTTTCTTTTTCATATGCCTTTACTGACTTCCTCCTCCAGAGGTACCTTAAATCGCAATTTAAAAAAATATACTATATATGTATAAATAACAGTAACAAAAAAGCTCAGGTTCTCCCAGCAGCGGTGACCTCTTGTGCCTTGGTGCCAAGCAGAGCTCTCAGAGCACAGGCACACAGTAACTTACTCATGCAGCTTATGTACTGTCCCCAGTTCCCTCAGCCCCTTTTGCTTCCCTTGCTGTGTGGACAGCCTCTACAATTTCACCCATTCTCATGGGTTCAACTATCATCCCGATGTGAATGGTTTCCAGCCTAAGCCTAGCTAACCCAAAGAGCTCTTGCTAACCCACACATTTCTGACTACTAAATCAGACCATTCACTCACATGTCCACTGACCTCTCACACTCAACATGGGTCCAGAGGAATCCAACGCCCTCTGCCTGAATCACCGAAGACCACTCACTGCTACTCCCAACACCCACTGACACTGCATCTCTGGCTCCTTCTGCCTGCCTACTCTGGTCAGGACATCCCACCTTTCCCACATCTGCCTGCTGACACCCTACATGTCACGTGCAATCTGCCCAAACTAAACCTTCCTCTCACAAGCCTTCCAAAAGCACACAACTCGAAGAAATGTCTCCTTTCCCCACTCCTCTACTGTACTGCATTGGAACTTACAGCATTTTTCAGAGACTTGTATTCATATCTGGCCTCCCAACTCGGAGCACTATGTCTTAGCCGATTTTATATCAACCACATGGCTGACAGTCCAACTCACTTCTGAACTGATCAGGTGGAGGACAGAGGACACTGAAATGACAACTCCCAAGGGAAAATAATGTCTCTTCCTACTTTTATTTCTTGAGGATTTAATAATAAGAGATAAACAGTGCATCCCTTTATGACATTAAACCAAACGTCACAGTTCTTCGCTTGAACTATGTAAAAATCAGCATGATTTACTAACAGGATAGGTGATAAAGAGAGGACTCCAAAAAGATACTCACCTAGTCTCTCACTCTGTAATGCAGCAGCCTGATTCATGTAAAAGACACCGATTTCATTTCTAATGTTTCCCATTCTCTTCAATACTTGTACATAGTGTTCTGGGTTTTGACTTTTTAAGTCACTAAACTGCAAGATTTCATTAGCAGCCTCATAACATTTACAGCTAACTGAAAGTTGACTTTCTAAGTCTGTAGACAAATCAGTGGCCCATGCAAATCCTTGAAAGAAAAAGAGGAAACATTACCACGAGTCATATGAACCCTTCTTCCTTAGTATCTAAGTAATCTAATACTTTTAAGACAAAAGAACAAATACATGCCTTATAGTATAAACATATTAAAATTCAATTAATAACACTAAAATTTTAAATTTCAGAAGTAAAGGGTCTCTGAATTTATCTAAACAACTGTATTTTCTTCATTAACATCAGATTAAAAGAAGTATTTTCCTGCCTAAAAATACCAAACAATTCCCAACACCCACATTTTACCAGATGCACTGCTTACTGGTACAGACCTAAAGTTGTCCACTGATACGAAGTAAATAAATTTTTCTTTTTAATTACTGAAAACTGTTCTTGAAATAAATTTCTGACTGCTACCAGAGGCTAGTTATGTACATTTCCTTCTCCAGAGGATCTTCCCGCCCCAGGGATCAAACCTTGGCCTCCTGCATTGCAAGCAGATTCTTTACCAATTTAGCTATGAGGGAAGCCCCATTATATTAGTAGTAAGTTTAAGTCGCAGAAGAAGCTAACTGATAAGCTCTAAAGACTTAAACCTGCCATCTAGTGGAGACTGGAGTAAACTCAGGGGCTGGGCCCAAAATCTCAAGGGAAAAATGGGCAGTACCCTGCTGCTAACTTTCAGGGAGCACATCACTCTTACAAAGAGGTACCTTAAGTGAAACTAACATGATGGGACTGCAAAAACAAACTACAGATTTTCTCACCATGTCTATTAAAATAAAACGGCCATCTGAGAAATTCATACAGGGAGGAAGGGAAAAAAGAGGGCCAGAAACCCCCAAGGAAATAATACATTTCCTCCCTCTGTGTACTCCCTAGATGTTAACAGTCCAGAACTTTTTGGGATGTGAGTATCAAGTGATATAAACTTAAGAGCATAATAAACGATTTCATGATATGTTACAAAAGCACCTTACGTCTCATTTACTGCCCTAATCACAGGTGCTTATATCTACTGGATAGAGCTAAGAGGAGGAATACTGCTGCTGTGGACTAAATTCTCCCATCTCCCAGGTTTAAAATCTGACAACTCCAAAAACATACAGCTGTGAACCACATTTAAAAAATAATGACCTCTGTATCTCAGCCCCCAGAAACCATTCAGAAGGTAACACATTCATTTTTACCCACCGCTAATTCCTTTTCAAAAGAAAATCATGGGTTGGTCAGTTGATGAAAGGGTTATTACAGAAAGACAAGTGTAAATGGTCAATATGATCATCTCCAGAGATTATTTTTAGTTAGTTCCAGTTGTATAACGAGTAATTACAAAATACTTCAAAACCATTTTATACACAAATACACAGGACTGAGTTCCATGTTAACATTAAGAAATGATGAAACACTGACATTTCTGGCACTTCTCCAAACCAGAGTACAAGTCCCCTCCCACGCATACCCTGACAACTGGACTCCCTGTGGAGGCTGTGCAGTATCTCCTGGTCCTCTTTCGTTTGGTAATTAAACTCTTCAAGGTGTGCTGCCCTGTTGTTTGCATTCTGGGCCAGCATTAGCTGGATATCACCGCAGAGTGTCAAATATTGAGAAAGAAACAGCAGTACTTCAGAAAGCATATTGGTGCAGAGGCAGCAGTAAGTATCTATGTGGAAAAAAGCAGGAAGGAGAAAAAACACATTAAACATGAAGGAACACAGTAAAACTTAAAATCTTTCATGTATTTCAAAATGAAGGGCTGTTAAACCAGAATGGAAAATACTAGGAAACATATAAGGTTAGAAAAAAATTTTTACATTAAAATTTCACTGAGTAAAATTTCACTGTGATTCAGATGTCTTCTCTGATCTCTCCTCCCAATGCTATTAAACATATTCATCTGCAGTGACTTACCATGGCTCTGCAAAGCTAATTTAATGTATCGTAATGCCCTTCCGTATTTCTGAAGACTCATGGCAGCATCAGACAAGACGTAGTAGGCCTTCGATGACTTGAGAATCAGCTGGAGCTTCATTTTATGTTGCCAAGAACCAGGGATCATTCCAGACTGACTGGAATAATTACCCTTCTGAAGGGAGCCCACTACGAAATGAGGGGGAAAAGACGCGCATTTTATTTGAATATAAGTCTCACTGTACCAAAAAAACCTGTTTCTTGATATAAACACACCAGGCTTCAGTACAATTAACAGCTACAACAAAACTGGTAAATACTACACTACTTAAACGCAGTGAAATATTAATAGAACAGCAGTGTTTCAATACTCTTGAGATCTCCAAAGCCCTGCTCCCATGCAGCTGTCAACTCTGTCACTCTCTTTGGGGGTCACAGACATCACTGGGCTCATGAATGACATCTACTTCCCTTCTCTAGCCTATGGGTCAACCTGCCCCAAAGTTCACCCTCCTAAAGTGCAGCTTTAATCACAGTAGAACTCCTGTTCTAAACATTAAAATGGTTCCTCACCACTTATGTCATGCTCAGCATCTCCCAGGTTCAAGATTTCTCGTTTTTTGATCAGCTCTAATGTTTGAGTCTTTCAAACTACAAATGAAAAGTATTTAAGTCTCTTTTATGGTTTTATTTGTGCCTGTATTTCTTTTTCCTCTGCTACTGTATGCATTTTCGATGTGTGAGGCATTGTCAGAGAACCAAAGTTGAAGATGAAATTTTGCTCACAAGCGTGTTTGTGTGTGTATATAAAACCATTAAGCACAGCTGAGGATGAATAAGGCAGGCTTCAAGAAGTGCTTACAGGACAAAGTGGTGAGGGAACCAAGGAACTGTGACTCAGACAGAGGTGGTGAACACAGAAGCCTTGAACAAGAGCAGGATATTCAACAGCTGAGAGGGGAAGGAAGGAACAGACAGAAAAGGCATTTCAGAAAAGACAACACCGTGAAAAAAGCAGAGAGACAGGGGTCTCAATGCTGGTGTGTACAAGCTCAGGCCAGCACACAGGAGGCAAAACACAAATGTTGGGGAAGTGAGTCCTGCCACGCCCCAATTATGCTCATGAAGAGAAAATGTTTCAGAAAGCTCTTGGTACTATTTTAAACATACGGGCTTTCAAAATACTTTTAAAATTAACTGGAAACTGGTTTCAAAAAAGGGAGGGGGGGTAGGATTGGGAAAAGAAATACAATTTAAGATTAAAATGAGAAACTCAGCAGGTTTACTGTGAAGCCCACATGTTCCCCGTGAAGTGCATCCTTGAGCAGATCCACGCTTTGTAAGTACACGTGCAGCTTATTCAAGTGCTGTGAGGGACAGGCTGCCCCTGCTCTGGCAGCACTGGTCATCACATGCACCGCTCTGAGCACACTGCCCGCACTAACGCACCCAATCCATACAGCACCCCTTTAAAGGAGGCACGGCTTTTGTCTCTACTTCGGGAGAGAAAACAAGGCTCAGCAAAGTCAAACAACCTGCCCCAGTGAAGCTGAGACCTGAAGCTGTGCGGTTTGGCTCCTAAGTCCTTGTGTTTAAGCCCCTGACTGCTCCTACTGAAGCAGGGCCTTCTCAGGAGAAGCCTAAGGGCTGAGGGCATTAGTTCCTCACAGTGGGTGACAGGAGGAGGCAGGTTCCTTACGCTCTTGTTAGAAATAGCTACCAAGAATCGAAATCACCCTGCTTTATTTTACACTTTGAATGAAAGGATATCTTCCCCTACTTTCCATTCATATGTACCCTTTATCTGAATTTCTTTCAGTGAAGGCCTTAATTGACCCAAGTCTGCTGCTGATAAAGGCCCAGTATATTATTCCATTGAAATGGCCTTATTTGCACTTCAATTCAACTTACTTTTGTCCAAAAACAAGGCCATCTGCTTCTCTAGGCCCTCAGGACCCCCTCTTGTGGATTCATCCTCATATTTTAATGGGATTGGGGTGTTGGGGTCAGCGGCAGGGAGGTCACTTTCTTTTTTGATGCTGCTGTCCACAGACTTTAAACCCTTTAAAAAAAGGAGAAATGTTTACTATACATGTCACTGAACATCAACTGGAAATGAAATATAATGCAGTGTCTGGACAACCAGATACACTTAGGAGAATTTATATTTTGGAAACAGACTTTAAAAACTCCATTTGGCCTGAAAGTTAGGAAAAACTGATTTTCAATTCATGCTTTAAGGGGGAAAAAAAATCACAGGAGAATGTCACTCAGAACAACGTTTGGCTGATTCGCTTTGCTGTGCAGCAGAAACTAGCACGTTGTACAGCAACTACACTCCCAATAAAGATTTATTTAAAAGAAAGATTAGCATTTAGACACCAATACACAAGTGCCATGTGCATATCAAGCACAAGCTTTACTGAAACAGTGAAGTCTAAATGGAAACTTACCTCCAGAACATAGCTCAGCACAAGTCTACAGCGCTCTTCTGTGTCATGACAAACCGGAAACGCACAACTGGGCTTCAGAAACAAACATTAAAAATTACTAACATGCTGCCAATACAACAAATTCCATCTCCCAGGAATTACTAAAATTCTGCAAATCAATAGTTCTTGAAATTTTCTGTGTATTTAGCTTAGTGAGGTATCTGTTTCAAGGTTAATGTATTGTTTCAATTACACATTAATCTTGTTTTAATTGCAGAGTAAATTGATATAAGCATCAACAAAAATCTTGTTTAAGAAGATCTTCCATTAAATGTTGCTTTAAGTACTTAAAATTTAAAAAAATAATTCTATTACAACAAAAAAAGCAAGCAAGAAATGTTTTAAATAAATCTATGCCTAACCCGATGGGTCAGCTCACTCCCAATGAGCACTAGTACTTGCTAACACACAGTTCACAATATCATCAGTTTAGCAATAAGTTAACCAGTACTGCCCACGGTTCTCATGTATAATGTATACACTTAATTAGGAGCAGAGCCAGTTAATAGCCTCTGCCTACTAAGTGATGTGATGTGTAAGCAGTTCTGCGAGGCATCCCACTTGAGAATCTTACAGGCTGGAATTACCGCTCTCATTGTCCAGAGAAGTAAACACAGATATTGGGTGCTGTGCTCAAGCTCACAGTGAGCGAGCGCTGAGTCCAGGGCTCTGGAGCCAGGCTGTCTGTACTTGAGAAAGTACTGAGATACAGCAGAGCTAACACAGAAGACATGTTTATATGAACGCCATTTCGGAGTGCTTTCAATATTGATAGAAAGTGCTCCGCTAAAAAAAAAAATCTGTAAACACACCACTCACCAAATTTAACTGCATTCTGTTGACGAAGCAGTTTCCCAACTAAGGTACCTTTTACAACCAATGATTTTGTTTACAGTAAGAAACCTTTTTTTACTGTACTGGGAGTTGCTCAAGCTGCCAAGTGCACTAATTCAGGTGGACAGTTAATGACTTTTTCCTGTGGTCATTTAGTCAAATATTTACTGAACAGCATTTATGTGTTGTGGGTTTCCTAGGTGGTGCAATGGTGGTGAACCCGCCTGCCAATGCAGGAGATGCAGATCCTCTGGAGGAGGAAACAGCAACCCACTCCAATATTCTTGCCTGAAAAATCCCAGGGACAGAGGGGTCGCAGTCCATGGGGTTGCAAAGAGTGAGACATGACTGAGTGACTGGGCACACGTGCACATTATGGGTTGTTGCCAGGGAGACATGGGACAGCCCATACCTCTGGGGAGCCTACATTTCAGGCATGGGACACAGACACACGAGGGTTTCCGGTATAGATTACCAGCCCCGTGAAGGAGAAAAAAACACAGCATGTTTCATCTAAAGCAGTCAGGGAAGGTCTCCTAGAGGAAGGGACATTTCAATCAACTTAGAAAAAGCCAGTCACAGAAAGGTCTGGGGAAAGGGTAAGTTCCGAGCACAAGTGACAGCAGATGCACAGGCCCTCGGGTGGGCATGACTCTGAATATGAGAGACAGAGAAAAAGGCAGTGGGGCTAAGGTAAATGAGAGGAGAAAAGAAGAGGAGGTCAGAAGGACAGGCAATGTTTTGGAATGACAGAGAGATCCTCTAAAAACCTATTTGGATATAAATTTCCATCTGAAAGTTAACATCAGAGCTTAAAGTAAGAGATTATCTATAAATATGACTGGAAAGTAGTAATAATTTAGAAAAATGAAACACTGTCTAGAAAAAGATGGATGGTATGACAGTCAATGCAATCAACACCAACAGAAACCTAACGGGCAGGAAGCTGTTAGGACCCACTGGGCCGTGACCAGTCAGGGACATGTCCAATCCAGCTGACATGGCCACAGTCACTGAAAGGCACCTCCCTATAGGGACAAGTGCAGGTCTCTCCACATGTGGATCAACAAGCCACCCATCCGCTCTGAGTCTACGTTCACCAAGCAACATGTACTGTCTCCCAGCAACACAGCAACTGGGAAGGGGTACCCTGGTGAGGAGAGAGGGCTGCACCCTGTTCACTGGAAAGAAAAATCTCCCACATGAAAATTAACATGCTAATGTGTCGTTTACACATCTGCCCACCGTCAGTTTGCATGTGGGTCAGTGACCCTGGGACAATTATAAAACTGATTTTCAGATTTCATAGAGCTAATTAGACCCTATATCATGAAGGATTAGTTGAAGTAAAGCCATCTTTTGAGAGGCTAACTGTACTCAATTAATGATTGTTTTTCCATTGATGAAATTTTAATACAAATGTCAACATGCTTACTCTGATTTGATGAATGGATTTGTATTTTTCTGGAACCGACAACTCTCCAACAGACTTAATTATCGCTACTGCTTTATTATCATCTGATGGGTCAGAACCGGTGCTGTAGGATCCGTTTTCATCACTGTCTGGCATCTCCTCCTCCTCTTCACTGTAACTTTCATCAGAATTCTCATTTAATGGAGATTCTGAACTTTCTTCTTTTTTAGGTTCATCCAATTGAAAAAGTTCTGAAAGCATGTAATTGGCTGAAGCAATAATCTTACAAAAAGAAAAAAATACATCAGTAACTCACCAAAACTGAGCATTCTAAAACGTAATGAACTTTACTACTGTACTAACAAATCTGAGATCTGCAGACAGGCAGACACACAAGAAACATTCCTAAGTACCAATGCTCTGTACTCTGTAAAATCCTCATGGACTGATATGTTTATTTCCTGAAACTATCCATTCCCAACCTTCTCTCTTAAGAAAAAATTACAACTGTATTTCACTGGAGACAAGTTTTCACATGTAAAGTGTCACAACTAAAATATTAGCAAGCTATCATTCCATATCAACCAAGGAACTAGAATAGTAAATTACAGTTCTGGGGGAAAAACCTCCATGAGCTTAATGAGCAAAAAGTCCAGAAATTTCTGGTTACCCTTAAAATTAGCATTTACATATCAGCATTATTCTACTCTATTAAGTAATTCTTTATCACAGACATGCAACAGCCTTAACACTATTTTCTAACTTACTAACCACCACCTTAATCTGCAATTAGATATTTAAGCCAAAAAGTGTTCTGCCACTTTTCTTTGAAAGCAATTTCTCTTGGTTTGGTCTCCAGGAAAATCTTTTTCTCCAAACTGAATAAAGCGACAATTAAAATTAACTCCAATCTTTAAAAAAATCATAATGCTATGTATCTTTTCTGACTTAAACAGGATACAACAACTAGCCTTACACTGAGACGTACAATTATCAAATTCAGACCACTGAGGTTTGTAATAAGGGTGATGTAAAACCACGGGGTGCAAGACTGAGGTTTTTTAAGACATGCTTTTATATACTGAGGTACAGAATTGTGGACCTTATTTATACGGACATTCACATAAATGGGTCTTTCAAGACAGACTATAAAAGTTTTCCACCTTCTAACAATGAAAATACAAAGGAAAAATGGCACTACTTTGTTAAAATTATTCAAGTTCTAAATTTATACAACAAAATCTGGCGAAATCAATTTTAATATATTTGATTCAATAAACACAAAATATTTCAATATGTAACATGTACACGTGTGCACACACAGACTCTTCAAAATTCAGTGTGTGTTTTCCATTTAAAGCACATCTCAGTTCAGATTAGGCACAACGTGTGGTAACTGGTTAGCAAACCAGATCGGGCAGTTACGGACTATGCATTAGGTGGCTTTAATGTCTGGGCAACCATTCTCTATCAGAATGCCAGAATTCTTTTAGAGGGCGTGTATTAATCTTACTTGAGGATGTCTGCTTTTGTCCAGCAATTTAACACAATTCAGAAGCAGGGTTCGAACTGTCCCGTAGTGTTTCTTATTTTGATTCTTCTTCATCATCATGTTGCAAGCAACCCTAAAAGGAGTTTATATCAGCTTTACTGCCCATTCATCATTTTCTCAAGACTCAAGTCTAGGCATGCTCTTCTTTCCTTCCAGCAGAATAAGGGCCATAAGAAACAACAAAACATTGCGTTTTATACCCCTGCTCTTTTTCCTTTCCCTATTTATCTTGCAACAGTATACAGATGTATATACATACACATTTTTTAAACTATGAAAATCTAAAAGGTATTTAAAACCTTGGCATAGATAGTGAGGCCATACACTTAAAACTTTAAATAAGGCTGCTTCTTCATCTTAACTTCTCAAAGCACTCACTTATATAAAAGAATAGCCACTGGCATTGTGAATGGATTTTGGTATTTGTCTTCAGTTTCTTCACAAAGAGTAGTGAGATCATAGAGCTTCACTATATCACTGCCACTGGCTGGGAAGAAAACAAAACAAAAAACCAAATAAACCTCATTTTACAGTTGCCACTCAAATCAGTGATTACTCAGTCAAACATTAGCTTACCTTTAAATAGCCAATAGGTATGTCCTTCCTTGGTACAATTAGATTTCAAAAATGATAAAATGTTTTGTGCAATGTCTTTTATGACTTTAGTAGAAAAATTAGAGTTTTCCAAGTTGGGAATCTCTTCTGTCTTTATCATTTCATACTTCTGTAAAGCGGAGGAAAGGCAGTCTGAGCAGGCCTGCACAGCAGCACTCCTCTGACTAAACAGAGACCAGAACACAAGCCCTGCAGTGAGAGGCCCAGCAGCGTGAGCGCTTCAGGAGCTGGCTTCCGGTCTGTCTTCCGCTCTGATACTCTGAAGGAATCTGACCCCCCCTTGCCAGCAATGTGCTGGTTCACCACAGGAATAATTCTTAAGGGAGAGTCATCACCAAACTTTGAACCACAGACTTAGGCACATCTCATTTCTGTCCCAACCACAGAATACGTTGCACTGTACACAATCTTCCATTCTACCCTCACGGTTTTCAACTGGGAAGGTGACAGATAAATCAAGGTAGACTTCACCCAGTAAGCTTTCTCAAAATACGTTATTTTTGACTTTTTCTTTCCCCAGACACTGGAGGCACCTGGGCAGTACTCTCCAGAGCACGCTACTTTCCCTTGGCGCTCTGGACTACTTCTTCACAGAAATGGAGCACCGGGGGTGGGGAGGGGTGGGGTGTGTGTGCGTGGAGGAAGCAGGAAAGAGTAAAGGCTGCAAGGCTATTACCATCACAATAAGTGCCTCCTCATTTTTTTTCTAGCTTGTCTTCTGCTCACACTTCCCTAAATGCCCCTGAGCATATTCTCTGAAGTACTCTAAGACTAGAAACTGCAACTCAATCGGAAAACAGACCAGATCCAAACAGAAGCAATCACACCCTTCTCTGATCATCCAGACTCTCCTGTGTACACTTCTAACCCTTCACCCGCCGTTCCCTATTTTCCTCTTATTTCCCATTAGATCACATCATTCTGAGTAGTGACCAATCTTACTGCTTTCCAAATTCCAACATTTCTGATGGGGACAAAGTCCCTCATAAATAGAAAATACTCTATAACGATTTGCTATACAAGCTATCTACTTTATGCAATTACTGCTGGGGCCTTTCCTCAACATTCTGCATTAAGTATTCATATCTGTTTACTGAATAACAGTATACAATACTGAATAAACACCTTCACTGTTCAGACACTTTGAAGTAATTACTATAGGTACTTGCCTTAAAATTATAGTTCTCTGGCTACAAATGTAGATTTTAGTATATTTATGACCTGCTCACAAATTACCTATAAATTAAACTCCTGTAACATCTAGAATTCTGACAGCACCAGCTCAAATGTAATAGCACTCTAATTTCAGCTTAGTCATAGTTATCTTCCTTGCCAAAATACACCTTACTCAAGGGTGTTAAAAACTTTAGTGAGGTACTTTCTGCCCCAATCTGTAGTTGAGAGATTATTTCAAAAGTCACGTTGTATTAGGCTTACCTGCACAATTCCATTTACATGAAAACACATGACAAGCTCTGGCACGTTGCATATCAAGTTGTCCAACCAATAGTCAATTCCAGTTAGCACATTAATTGGTTTGTTGTTATCCCTAAAAACATATTTCTGGTGTTATTGATTAATGAAGATGTTCCATTACAAATCAGCTGAGACTTACTTCCCTCATTAGAATATTTTAATCTGTTCTCCCTAGTTGGAGAGTACCATTTATGCTTCTCTTCTGATGAGACATGCATACACAGCTCATGGGGTATGTTGTACTTAACATCTTCCCATAAGGTTTGTGTGGACTCTTAATGGGTGTCCATAAGAGCTTTCAGGAGCAAAAGGAGGAACTATGACACAGATGGCCGATAGCCTACTGCACGCTCCTCATACAACCTGAGGTGAAGACTGACCAGCATACATCACAGTGCTCAAGTCAGAATTCACACAGGATAGACGATGTGAACATACACAGCTGGGACATTAAAAAACGCTTACACGTAGTTAACAGGAGGCTGGTAAACCACTTTTTCAACTGGTTAAATAAACTGCACTATATTCTCACAAGTTGTAGATTCAGACCTAAGACTCATTCAGTACAGCAGGTCTCTGACTCCACTACCGAGGACTAGAATGAAAAGCCAGCCATAGGGTTTTCAGCACTTGCTGAAACACTCCTTCCATACTGGGCCATTTCAACTGGTGGAGGAAGGAGGGAAGTGAAAAAAAAAAAAACTAGAAAAAGGAAAGGATGCCAAAATAAGCAGGTGAAAGCAAACTGGAACATGATTCTGAAGGAATATAAGTCTAGTTACCTGAGACGTAAGCTGACTGCTGGATATCGGCCGCCTCCAAAGATAGGCATGTTGGAGCCAACTAACATGTGTATGTCTTCAAATGTCCATAAAATATTCCGAACAAAATCATTTTTAAGACCCTTTGATTTGAAATAAAATAGAGAGATTATATAATAAACAGGGAATCTGTAATCTCCCCCCAAGATCCACAAAAAGACTAGAAGAAAGAAAAGACAAAGGAGAAGAGATAAATGAAGCCACAGAGCTAGAAGATCAGAGAGATGTTTAGAAAGACATTTTTAGGATCAAGTGGATTTTTTTTCCCCTATGAATTCCAATTTAAGACTAGCTCTTAGATGACGAAGTAGACTGGGGATGTGGTGTCTCGACTTGGATCCCACAGAGAGCATACCTGACTGTTCTCCCCGTCATTGAATAAAGGAGTCAGGTTTTGTTCTTTAGGCGCTGAGGCCACATGCCCCACTATGTATGAGGGTTCAAGAGGCTCACTTCCCTGTGAAAAGTGCAAGGACAGGAGTGATTCTGCTGTCATAACTTCTTACAAATGGCCTACTGTTAAAGAGTATCACCTACACATCAAGGCATACAGCTCAAACCTGCTCTTGTAAATTACAGCTGATACGAATCATTACTTCTCATGGGGTGCATACTTCAGTTCCTAATTATAAGTCACTATAATAAGCTAAACACATTCAGATCTTACTCAAATCAAGACTAAAGATTTATTTTAAGCTTTCCAAGCTTTTTCTCTCTTTTTTTGGGGTGAATTGCAACAGCACTACTCTTTCAAAGCCTATTCCATACCTACTGAATTAAAAATTTCCTAAGAAACCTCAGCCATATTTTTGTGACACTGGTCATCGAAACAGTCCTCAGCTTCACACATTCTAATGTGTTTTTCACAGAAGTCTCGTCTCTGGGGTACTTGGTGAAAAATTCCCAGAGTCAGATCTGAAAAACACTGTTTACAATGATTTGCTTTTGGAGAGTAAGAATGCTTATTACCACAAAAGGTTCCTGAGAGATCCTACACTGGAAAAACCTACATGATCTCTATATAATCCATTACTCCCAAATTTATTTATCTTGTAACACTTTTTATTCTTATTACAGATTATTTTTATTATTCTTTTAATTATTCTTATTATTAACTGTGGAATATATTTTGGAAAACACATAGGAAGAGGAATCTTTGACACAGTAAATGCAGTCCACTGATTTTCCAACCATTAGGGTAGCTGCCATTAAAAACCATTAAGAAACATTAAATCAAGACAAGAAAGCATATGTGTGTGTACACGTGAGCACCTAGGTGTGTTGCTTATTCCTATTTGTGTGCTAATAAGCTTAGCACCAGTTTTCAAAGAAAGTAGGTATGAAGTAAGTAGTGGGAGATCTCCAGTGCATTTGCATGTCTTCTTTGCAAAGGTCCTTAAAGAATTTCAAACATCTACTGTATTGTTTATTGATACAGACAAGTTATTGACCTATGGATCAATTCCCAAAATTATATTTGCCAGGTATTGCTTTAGTGTGATTTATAGGTTTCTAGGTTATAATGTTCTTAATAAAAGTTTGGCTCCAAGGCCAGACCAGAGAACTATTTAAACTTTATTATTGCTTAACATGGGACTCAAACTTGCCGATTTAGCCTTGGGAGCAAGAATTCATGAAGTGAAGTTTAGAGATTTATATATGTCACAGAAAGCATTCTGTAAAAGATTATCTGTAAGCAGGGTAGCTCTGCTTAGGGATATGCCATTGCCCAGACAACTCGACTGCTCATAAGGCCCTTCTAAATGTGTGGGATATACAGACACATTGGAGTACTGCTGTGAGAACAGGCCTCTAATCAGAAAGACCAGGGTTTAAACCCTAGCTTGAACTTCACCAGCTGTGTGACCACGGACAAACATCTACTTTTTATGAGCTTTATTTACTTATTTGTAAAATGATACCATCAACATAATACACATGCAGCTAAAAGGATGAAAAATACACACACCATACATGGCATAAAGTATGTGGCATAAGAAGCATTAAATAGATTCCAGGTCACTTCTTCCACAGGCAAGTCTATAGATTCTAAAAAGCCTCCAAAGTTTTTCAAAGTAACCTTTAAAGGACAGAATGATAAGGCTGATACAGGGGAGAAGGGCAGCAGGAGACTAGAATTTTCATTATGTGGTCTTTTTATAATGCGTGTGTTTTGAAGTCAAGGAATACTAAATAATTTTTTAAAAACTCCTTCAGTAAAGTATAATCACGTACTGTTGCTGTTGGCCAGTCACTAAGTCATGTCTAACTCTTTGCGAGCCCACGCACTATAGCTCACCAGACTCCTCAGTCCTCCACTATCTCCCAGAGTTTGCTCAAATTCATGTCCATTGAGTCAGTAAAGCTGTCTAACCATATAATCAAATACAGAAAAGTACATAAACTATACAGAATACAGTATAATTACTAATTAGAAAACAAATTATCCATGTAACCACCACCCAAGTTATGACATAGGACCCTGCCAGCACCCAGCACCCATGTCCCTTCTCATTTCAATGTTAATAAGTTCCCCACCTCCTGGGTTATCACTATGTGGACTTGCATGCTAATTACTCCCTTACTCTTCCTTACAGTTTTCCCAACTCTGGAAAAAAAATTAAGTTCACTACACAGTTCAATGAGGCATCTCTATCTGAAAACCTACTAAACTAAAATCAGGTTAAAGGTGTTTTGTCTTCTATGACCTTATAATTCGCGAGGATAGAAACAATCTAATAATGAACGTTCAGTGTGTTCAGTGTGTGAGAGCACACAGTCAGAGGAGAAATTCAATTTACCAAGTTACCTCAAACTGGTCGATTTTCCTAAAAACCAACATGCACAACTTACATCTATGGAGTCACTTGACAGACACAATAAGGACAAAAACAAATGAACGGTAACAAGAAACCAAGGATGTAAGAGGTAAAAGGGGTCACAGACCATCCTCTCTTCCTGTCTGAAAGCTTTATAACACGAATGTAGGTTAAGTCTTAGCAACGCCACTGAGAAAATGTGCAGAGCTATTTCAGGCCTAACAAATCCGACTGAAAGTTAAGGTAGAAGGCAAGTATTTCAATTACAAACAGGACTGTGAGTCTCAATATCTGAAAGGTACTTAATATTTCCACAGTTTAAATACACCATATCTCTTTATGACTATAAGGAGATAAATCAGTATTGATAAACATATTAATAAGCTATTTTAAATGTGGTAAAACTTTAAAAAATATCTTTGAATTATTTCTTGGAAAAAAATCTGATCTAGCCATTCATAATAACCCTTATAAATTCCATACTGAAAAACTAAAACAAGGACTTTTTGTACCTGTGAAGACATAAATTGATAGAATACTTTTTATTCCTATTTGTCTCTATTTTTTATTGATAGGATAACTGGCTTTGTCTCCTTAAATGATTTTGCTGAATCAGCATCTAAGCAGTGTCTAACCTGACTGGAAGCACTGGGGTCTTCAGAGACTGAAGAAGGCATTTCAAAGGGGGCGGGCCACGAAGCTCCATCTGAATCATTGGTCTGATCAGAACTGGATGACTCCTGCTGTTCTGTGGCAGATGGGACAGGCTGAGCAGCTCCATCGCCATTGATACTGGCCAAATCAGAAGCAAAAAAACCCCACATTGTTACTTAAGTTAACTTTATGTAACAGCCCACCAGTTTTAAAAAACTAGATTCTATAACCAAGCATAAATCTCATTTAAAAAAGGAATACAGGACAAATGTCAACAATAACAGTAGCCAAACTTAAATTACTTTTACTGGCCTCAAATTTTTGTATCAGAATTTCATTTTTTCTCTTCAGATAAAAATAAACAAATAGCTAAGTACCTGTAATACAAAAACTTTGAAAGAATAGCCTTCTGATACCAGTGTTCTTTGCTTTTTTTCTTCCTCTGCCACTTCTGATCAATAAGTCTTTGATAAAACTCTTTTAACCATGTCCAATCACCAGTCTGGTAACATAAGAAATTGATAATTAGTGCCTGGGATAAGTCCCACTATGCACAAAGCATTAAAATTATCTGTGTGTTTATAAGCTGCAAGGAAGCAGGACTATGATTCTCAAGACCTTGCCCAGTGGCTAACACAGTCCAGACTGAACTGAACTGTGATCTTTACAAATAGAAAAACATTTACTATAAATGTCAGTTTAAATCACTGTAAATTCTTTCCTTTATCAAAGCATTGCAAGAATATTCTTTAAGAGTAGCCTATGGGAGTGAGTGGCAAGACCATGAACTATTTGCAATCAAGAACTATTTGTAACAACAAGGTAAATACAGAAATGTAGAGTCAGCTTTCAGAAGCTGCAGCATTATTATATTTTACAAAATAATGGTGACTTCCCTTGTAGTTTAGTTAGTAAAGAATCCACCTGCAATGCAGGAGACCCAGGTTCGATTCCTGGGTTGGGAAGATCCCCTGGAGAAGGAAATGGAAACCCACTCCAGTATTCTTGCCTGGGAAATCCCATGGACAGAGGACCTGGCAGGTTACAGTCCATGGGGTCACAAGAGTCAGACACGACTTAGCGACTAAACCACCACCACGAAAAAGTGGTGGAGGAGAATAGTTATTTACCACACACAGTTTGAGAAGCTCTGCTTAAAGAGAACCAATTAATTCTAATATAACTATATATTCAGAGGAATAATTTTTAAAATATTTTTCACATTTCCTGGAAGCCATGTTTCATGACAATCTCTTTAATACAGACATGAAAGGATTTTTCAAAAATTTAACCAGTCCCTTAAACTTCATATTTTTCATAACTTTCTTCACTTCACCCTTTTCCTTATAAGAATTCTGGCTACTAGTATCAATAAAATAAGTTTCTCTTTTTCTTTTTAAAGCTTTTTAATCTTCAGTTAAACTTTTCATTTCTTGGTTGAAGCACTCAACCACGTTTTCACTTTGTCCTTTCTTTGAAACAAAATCACATTTCTAGTGCCCATAAGTTGTTAAAACAGTGCTTTTCTTGTTATTTCTCAAGAATTACCTGAGATGATCTCATAAAGAGTTCCTGGATATCTAACTCATCTAACAAGAGAGTCCTTCCTATGCGGTGCACGGCCATGCTCACATGTGATTTGCTGTAGGGAATCTTCAGAAGCTTTTTTATGTTCTTAAAAAATACAAAAGGAAAAACAGTTTAGAAACACTTTTGCGGTATGATCTGGAATCTTTCAAATTTAACTCCACTCAGTTATAAAGCATAATAAACCTTATTTCCTTACGTTCATACAAACTGTACCTTAAGGAGCTACCTACAAACACATGGAAGACAGAGCTTCAAACCAGAATCACCTACACTTTACCAGTCTCCCTGTGTTAATGTAAATAACAAAGATTTACTTTTACATGATGGAATTTCATAAAATATATATAGGTCACATTGCTGCACTGACCAAAGCTTTCAGTTTCTCAGAAAAAACAGGGCAACTAAGCATCAATAGATTTTACTACAAGTATCGTATCTAATTCTCAACCAGCAACATTACATAACCCAACACTGTAACTGCTTCCTCAAAACTGCCATCATTAAAATACAGCCATCAATACCACTGCCAGTATTTGGTGAGTTTGCTCCCTCCTCTTTGAGGAATGATGCAGTGAACAGTGTTACTTTAATTAAAAAGGTGCTCAATAATCAGAATGTTGTAGCTTATTTCATCAATAATTTTTCCAGACTGCAGAATACAGCAGGCTATAAATCCCCAGCATGAACATCCCAACTATAGTCGCAAAGAGGACACTTACTTCAGAGTCAGAGACAACATCCACATCGTTTCCCACTGAATCAATAAAGTCGTATGCCATCCCAAAACTAACGGAGAAAACAAAGGCCACAAAAATCAAGTTCATGGTGGGGCAGGTGTTGTTATAACAGAATACTATATTTCAGCACTTCTTAGATATACATTTTCCACACTCTAACATCTCTGAAAACAGTATGCCTACCACCATTACAGTTGGCTAGTTTTTCCTTCTTAGTGGTACATAAAATAATGGGGTCACTTAACAGATACAGAAAACAAGACTTGTGGTTGCCATGGGGGAGTGCAGTTGCAGAGGGACAGATTGAAGTTTAGGATTAACAAATACAAACTATTATATACAGGATGGATAAACAACAAGGTCCTACTGTATAGCACAAGGGACTATATTCAATACTCTGTGATAAACCATAATGGAAAAGAATATGAAAAAGAATATATATATGTATATATATGTATAACTGAGTCACTGCTGTACTCCAGAAACCAACACATTATAAGACAACCATACTTTTAAAAATTTTGTTAAAACAAATAAAAATAATGGGACAACTTAAAATCAATGGCATCTTAAATTTGATACAAGACAGAAATACTATAATAATAGCAGCAATAATAGAAAATATTTAGAATAAAAACAATTACAATCATTTTTATTTTTGTAGTCATGCAATCTAAAAAAATATGAAACAGAAAACAGTTTGGGTTTTTCTTTTTAGATGGGGAGACAAGAAAAACAACATAAACATTCCTAAGGATTTTAGTCTCTGGGATCATGTTCCCAGTGATATACACTTGTACCGTTTTAAAAAATGTATGAGAAAAAAAATGCACACAACACCAATTCAACCAGAAGGAGAAGAAATAGCTCAATGAGCACCACCAAACTTGTGCCAGGTACCACGTGAGGCACATCTATAATCTGCAAGTATGAAAAGCAGCTGCTGTCACCGTTTTTCAGTGAGGAGGTGGCAGAGTCAGAACACTTATTTAGGACTGCCTCACTTCAAAGTGTGCTGATGATTTACCATGTGGGCTAGGCAAGCTCTTAACCTTTCCAAGCCTCACTTTTCTGCAGGAAAGTTAACAGCACCCAACTCAAAAGGTTGACAGAATGAAACAAGATAAGCACATAAAGTACTCAGCAGTGTCTGTACACTGTCAATATAATCATCAGCCAAAATCACTTTATAACATTTAATTATGCTTTATTAAGCCATTTTTCTAAAAGAAGACATGTGAACTATTTGCAATTTTTTTCTACTAGTATAAATAATGCTACATACAAGCACCATTTTTGCAAACATAACTTTTACCTCCTGAGGCATTAGGGTAATTTCCAAATCATTGGCACGTAAGGTATTAATCTATTTATTGCTCCTGCTGTATGTTATGTGGAAATACTTTAGGTTCAATCACTGAGAGGGAAAAAGGGAACCCCCCACATTAAAAGGTCAACCAGAATATGGACATCAGTACATTCTTCTCTGTAAGACCCAGGCCTCTCTCTAAACCTTAAACACCACCAGCAGAATTTCCAGCAAGTGTCAATATATCTAAACATGCTGTGTTTTTACATCACTGTTGTTTCAGACCAGACAATCCACCACCATTTAATGAAAAATTCCACAGGACAGGTTAGGCAGTTTTAAGGATTCCGCCCCCGCCCCCCCGAGACTCCATATTCACATAATCAAAAGGTATGAAAATTGGCTAAAATGAAAATAGCTAATTGAATTTTAGTCATCAAAATTCATCTTTGTTAATAACATGATGCAGACTTGAAAGAAGCATATGTAATTGATATCTTCATATTTTAACAGAATCCTATTATTGTGAAAAAGCACAATGAAAGTCAAATATAATCTTTTTCTAAAGCGAAGTCTTGGCATGTTGATGAGCATTACAAATCACACTGAAAAGCAAGTCTTAAGAGTTTTAAGGTGGAAGGTTGAGGAACAGGTCAAAATGCCATTAATTAATATTTACCTGGAAAATGGCTTGCTTTTCCTACTATTGCCAAGAATGGTAGTTCCTGCCGGTCCTAGCTTGGCACTCTCTCGTAACCAGTTGGCAGGTGGGAGTTTCAAGTCTGTTTTCTCTTCGAGGCGTGCAAATGCTGTCCGAGGAGGGGCAGAAGAGTATTTCACCACAGCTCGGCTTTTCACTTCATTGCCTCCGAGAAATAAAGCTGATCCCTGATTAACATGTTAAATGAAACTTTAATGTACATTACTAGGAATAAAATAATTAAAATCCCATCTTAATAATAATAATAAAACTCTACCACATCAGGCTTACAAGAATATGCTACACGTTACTAGCAGCAGTTGATAAATGAGAGCGTAAATTTGTACAATTTACATAGCTCCTTTTCACATAATTTCAAAGAAAAAAGATAAGTCAAGGAGTATCATGGTTATGGTTATTAGCCAGGAAACAGGCCAATCAAACTGTCTTTTAAAACATTCATCAGGGCAGAAGCAGAAACCAGGGAGTAAACAGTACCACAGTAACTAAACGCAAAATGTAATAAAACCTCTGTTCAATATTAAACATGTATTTTAATTTCAATAGCATGCATCATTTAGGAAGTGGCTTGTGGTAATATCCGGGCCTTCTTCATTTTTAAGTGTTTAGTAATTGATCGGTCAGTCTATTACACAAACACCCTGAATGTCTAACTTCACAGCAAGGCAAGTCACTGGGGGATCCGCACAGATTTCACCCGCACACCCCCAAGAAGGCTTGGGGTCTGAGTTAACTCTTCCAACCTTCTCGCACACAGACCCTTTTCAGCCAGGCAAACAGTTTGCACCCTTCAAATATTAGCTCAGTCCCATCTCAATGAGCTCTCTCTCTGTTCCCCTCCAGCTCTGCAAGGCTGGGTCAGTTTTGGAGCCACCTGTGGTGTTGGAAACTCTCAAGAGTCCCTTGGGGCTGGAAATCAGTTCTGAATATTCATTGAAAGGACTGATGCTGAAGCTGAAACTCCAATATTCTGGCCACCTGATGAAAAGAACTGACTCATTGGCAAAGACCCTGACGCTGGGAAAGAATAAAGATGGGAGGAGAAGGGGACGACTGAGGATGAGGTGGTTGGATGGCATCACCAACTCCATGGACATGTGTTTGAGCAAACTCGGGAGTTGGTGATAGACAGGGAGGCCTGGCGTGCTGCAGTCCATGGGGTCGCAGAGTCGGACACGACTGAGCGACTACACTGAACTGATTCCTACCAGCGCTCCTCGAGAGAAGGGATCGTGTCAAACTCACCTGTGGGGTACCATGGACTGGTAAGCCAGGGTCGCTTTTGACACGCAAGACTTGCATGGTAAATATGTGAGTCCACAGGCACACGGATTTTGTTTCCTCAGGGGGCTCGTTGGGATGACTTGCATGGTAAATACCTGAGTACCTGTCCACAGGCAGACGGACTTTTTTTCCTCAGGGGGCCCGTCGGGGAGGCGTGGAGAAGGCTCCACCAGCCGCCGGGCACCATGACATCCCTCCCGGGCCGAGCCGATCCGCAGCCCCCCGCGGGAGCCCTGCTGGTCCCGCCCCCACGGAGGACTCACCTGTGCAGAAGGTTCCTCAGACTCCCCTTGGGATAGGAGGCTGAGCCCTCCCCGAGCAGCGGCCCCGGCCGGCGGAGCCTCGGCCCCCGCCTCCTTAGAGTCCGCCATCACCTCGTTCCAGGGGAGGCCAGGCGAAGCTCGACCCGAGGAGCCGAGACGGATACCCGGAGCCCAGCGGCGCCGCCGCAGACAGCTGAGCGAGCGCTAGCGAGGCCCCGCACTTCCGGCCTCTGACAGGAAGAATGAGCGCGGACGCGTTCAAATCTCGCGAGCTTTGTGCCAGAGGCCCGGCCCCGCCCCCACCCCGGTGGCGGCCACCTTCGCGAAGGCGGTAGGGATGGGGGCGGGAACTGTAGAGCGCTTGCGTCTGTCAGAGGCTCTTACGAAACTTCGTCTCGCGGTAATCTGACTCCCAGGCTCCACCCCTTGCACGCAGGTCCTCTTTGTTGGCAAACAGTCTTTAGGACTTGGGCTCGGGGTAGAGTCCGGGGTCTCCCCGGTCCCTCTCTGCGTTTGGGCGGGGAAAAGCTGCCGTAGGTGTAACCCGCGGCTCCTGTTACGTAAAGCAGCGAAGCGGTAGCCCTGTCCCCTCCCCAGCTTCCAGGGCGCCCCACCCCTCGGCTTCCCGGCGGGCTCGCAGGCCCAGGAAGGGAAAGACGTGCCCAGGTGAGGGGCCGTCCACAGAGTCAGGCCCTCCTGGATTCGGCGTCCTGTCCGCGCATCACAATGCGTGCATGGGCCTCTTGGGCCCGCTTGCGGGGAGAGGGACGTAGAGGAGGCCCTCCGCCTTTGCTGAGGGGAGGGGATGGGTTTCAGAGGAGGTGGCACCCCCCCCACATCCCACCCCCGCCAAAGGTGCAGTTTGCTGCTTAGTGACTTAGTGGAGCATTTTCGGAGAGCCCCCCCCCTTATTTATCGCGCCCCAGGGATCTCAGTTCAGTCCCTCAGTCCTGTCCGACTCTTTGCCACCCTGTAGACTGCAGCACGCCAGGCTTCCCTGTCCATCACCAGCTCCCGGAGTCTACTCAAACTCATGTCCATGGAGTCGGTGATGCCATCCAACCATCTCATCATCTCCCACCTTCAGTCTTTCCCAGCATCAGGGTATTTTCCAATGAGTCAGGTCTTCTCATCATGTGGCCAAAGTATTGGAGTTTGGAGTGTAGGAGTGGCCAGAGGAGTTCCAGCATCAGTCCTTCCAATAAATATTCAGGACTGATTTCCTTTAGGATCTAGGGATCTAGCAAAGGGTATTGCGGTGGTTCAGGGCCTTCTCCAGTATGAAAAGGCCCAGGAAACACCTGGGGATTTAGTTGGCATGCAGATCCTGATTCAGTTGGTCTGGAAGGAACCTGAGATTCTGAATCTCTACCAGACACCCAGGAGATAATGCCAGTACCTTGAACCGCAAATAGGTGGAGAAACAGCAAAACCAAGTTTGAAAGTGCGGGCCCTCTTAGCTTCTGAGCCAACACTCAATATGGTGATGGTTTAGTCGTTTTAGTTTTGTCTGACTCTGCGACCTCATGGACTGTAGTCTGCCAGTCTCCTGTGTCCATGGGATTCTCCAGAGGAGGACACTGGAGTGGGTTGCTGTTTCCTCCTCCAGAGAGTCTTCCCAACCCAGGAATGGAACCCAGGTCTCCTGCACTGTGGGCAGATTCTTTACCAACTGAGCTATGAGGGAACACTCAATGTCTGTCCTATCAAATGTAATTAAATGGAGCTACAGTCTTCCTTAAAAATGTCTGTTGTATTTTGCAGTAAAATGTTGGAAGTGGTTTTAAAAAATTAGTTTTGCCTTTGCAATTATTTGTCTCAATTTGTAGTTTACATCAGGTGTTGATAAGGCACTAATCCTCTGCAGATTTAGAAGTCCTTGTGTCTGTTAGCAAACAATTTACAAATTGTTTTCAATTATAACAAAGCATTTTTATGAATTAAATATAACAATTTTATAGTACATTTTGTAGACCCTTAAATCAACGAGTATTGGTTTTAATATTTACAAATTTGTTTGGATTTTGCAGTCACTGCTTTGTGTTTTTGCAGGTAATGCATTGTTATTTTACATTGTAGTAAGTTGAATACAAATGTTTAACATTAGGAGAATGGTTAAGTCTACTTTTGGTACATAATACCATTAACTTGTGCAATAATTCACTTATTTTTTCAAGAACATGTAAACTCCACAGGCTCTGTTAAAGTTGCCTGTACTATAAAATTGTGCATGATGTTAAGTGAGAAAAAGACTTAAAGCACACCTGTGATAAGATCTTGATTTTACAAACATCTATTTCTGTGTCAGTGTCAATTTAAATGTATCTCTGGGGTGTAAAATGAAATGATTTAATATTCTTTAAAGCTTCATTTTCCTATTTTTCTTTCCTATTATGCATTAGTTTATAGTAAAACATCATTAAACTTTTATACATACATATTTATCTTCTAATGATTCTTAAGTTCTGTTATTTTATTATATAGTTCTGTGTTTGTAAGAAGGGATTTCCTGAGGTAACTGTCTTTAAGACTCACATACATTGCATGCCTCTTGAGAACTACCCTGGAGAAGGGAAAGGCTACCCACTCCAGTGTTCTTGCTGGACAATCGCCATGGACAGAGGAGCTTGGCGGACTTCGGTCCGTGGGGTCACAAAGAGTCACACTTTGACTGAGCAACTGAGACTAAAGACACGACCGAGCAACTAAGTACTTGAGAGCTAAGTGCCTGAACCCTTGCTGATGATGCCTAGGGAGAAACTGTGCTGGAAGCAGCCTGTGAAAAGGCAGAGAGTCAAACAGAGAGAGCCAGGAGCTCAGCACAGGGAGGCCCAGCAGCGGAGGGGAGCGCGAGAGCCGGCTCCGGGCTGGGGGAACCGAGGACGCCCAGCGACTGTTTGTGGAGGGAGACCTGAGGAGGGAACCAGCCTTCTGGGGTCTTTAACAGCGCAGGGCTAGAGAGGTTTAGGTGCTAAAGGAGGAGGATCCCTGATGGCAGGAGAAACCGAGCATATCAGCTTACATAAAGTTTATACATTCTGCTGGTTCTAAGTGCTTATTATTGTCTTTTCCCTCTTCAAAAACGTTTATGTGCTTTGGGTTTAAGTTATTATCATTTTTAATGCGTGTGATTGAAATATAATGTGGGAAAACCTGGACCATTACTTCCAGAGCTTGACATCTTGAGACATGTACGTTCATTTTCCCAGCGTCTGCCTTCCCCTCCTTCCCCGCCCCCAGCGGCCAGCTCCTCCAAGTATGCTTCATCCTCTGTGGCCCGCTCTGCCCTGCAGGAGCTGCATCCTGGACCTTGTAACCAGTCAGCGCTCTCACCTGTTTACCTGCCTCCCAGTGCCTGATACCACCACCACTTAAGAGACATTGCTGCTTCAGCGACCTGTCCCGTAAATCTGTGTCTGCTGGTGATTCTCCTTTGCCTGGAATACCTTTCCCTTCCTCACCTGGATAATTTATTCCTAAAGACTCACCCGTCGCATGTGTCATCCCTAATAAGTCTCTCCTGACACCTGGCTCCCTCCCCTTACCTCATGGGGTTTGTTCCTGAAGCTTGTGTGCAGCTTTATCCAGCACTTGCCCCTTTACAGAAAAATGGTTATTTTTGGTCATTTCTTTAGTCACTAAGTCGTGTCCAACTCTTTGCAACCCCATGGACTGTAGCCCACCAGGCTCCTCTGTCCATGGAATTCTCCAGGCAAGAATGCTGGAGTGGGGTGCCATTTTCTCCTCCAGGGGATCTTCCCAACCCAGGGATCAAACCCTGTGTTGGCAGACGGAGGGTTCAGAGCCTATACCTCTGAACCACCAGGGAAGCCTATAGAAAATTTACTTATTTATATCTGTCTCCCTTGCTGACTGAGCTCCTCAATAATGTCCTGTCTGATCATCTGTTTTACCACTACCAGAACAGCATCAGCCCACGAAAGTGTTTTAGCCCTTAAGCTAATGCAGATCAAGTGACTGGTGCCAACAGGCTTTTAAAATGCTTATTGAAATGTTTCAGACATAAAAACCTTGTTGGCTCCAAGATATATATAATCTCGCAGAAAAAAAGCTAAAAATGTTAATGAATGTGTGTCTCCAATATATTGCAGTGTCAATGTCCTTAATTACTAAAGTTAGTATTCACACAGTTTGTTCCATTCTAGAATAATTGGTACATTAGATTTTCTCTGCTTACAAAAATCCTCCTGGCCCATATGATGATTTTGGAGATACGTCAATCAATCATAAACTCATTTAGTTACTTGTAGGACACAGTATTTACCGAAGCAAAATTAGAACTCTTTCACCAGGTTTTTACAGTTATGTGTAAGGCAGGTATGCCTAGGGCCCTAGGAATTCCTGAGCAGCCACGCCTACACAGGAGACTTCCAGGGAGCGCTGCGACTGGGGCTTGGGCCCTTCTGTTTGGCAAAGGTCCCACCATGACCTAGTGCTTACACCTCCCCACCCTCACGGTGTCTGTTGCCTCCTGGACCTTGGAAAGCCCTGATTTTCGGACTTCTACTTCCTGGACTTTGAACTGGAGGAGAGATTTGAGATGTCTGAGTCAGTCTCGTTCCTCTTTAGATGAGAGCAATGCCATCCAGAAAGGAGAGTAGAATTGACCCAATGAACATCATACAAAGCTAGTGTAAATAGCAAAAGCAGGACTAGTACCCAGGTCTCTGAGTACTGGTTAGTACTGTTAGCCTTTAAAAAAGTTAAATTGCAAACACCAGCCAGTGGAACATTAATTTGCTTTAGGATCACCTGAGGAACTTAAGTGAGCAGATCCTCTACCGTCTCCAGATTCTAAGATGGTATCACTGGGGCAGTGCTGAGGCTCTGTGTTTTTAGTGAGTTACCAGCGTCTGACTGTCTTGTCCTACAGACCACACCTTAGAACAGTGATCTCGTAAGATAATTTCCTGGGGTGCAGGAAAACCTATGGCTTCTGCAATGTTTTTTTTTATCTGAAAAGTAAGGGCAAATCTAATTCCAAGGACAGAGGAGCCTGGCAGACCACAGTCCATGGGGTCGCAGAGTCAGACACGACTGAGCGGCTATCACTCACTCACAAGCCTTGCTATTTTGGGCTTCCCTGG